AAAACTGAAAAAGACTGTAAACCATTTCTGCAGCCAAAAGAATGATGGAAGTTAGAATTTCTTTTTACCTAATCCCCTAGCATTTTGCTTGTGGATACAGCTGTGTTAACACAATGCAACATTTGAGTTGAGAGGTCTGCCAGATCCTGGCACCAGTGATAGTTTGCAGACTGAAGGTCTTATTTGATAGATTTTCAAAGTGATACTGTGCTCAGTTGTATCTATGTTCCTGGAAGGAGGCTTGYAGTCAGCTTCTCAGAGGAAATACTTTCAAAAGGAAAAGTTTAATTTTGCCAAGATGCAGATAAGGTCAGAGTAATTGGACAAACCAGAGCTTTGTAGGTTAGAGATGAGCACAGCCTGCTCCCTGGGACTGTGCAAATGTGCTAGGAGAACAGGAAAATGAAATGTATGAGGATAATTACATTTGCTGAAATTCCAMAGTTCTGTATATTGTTTGGCATATTGTCAAGTGTAGAATTGCTTTTAAGCAGGGTGGAGTTTTTTTTACTTTTTAAAATAATGTAAAATGTAGTTATGCTTCCTGTTTCTGGTTTCTATTCACACCCAGCAGAAAATGGGTTCACCAAATGAATTTTAGTTGTTTTAATACTATGTATTTATAAATTGCTATAAAAATTGATTGTAATATGATGCTAATTCACCAGAGGTTTTACAAGTACATCTGTAGTAGCTTCTGCCTAGCTTCCATGCTTTTCTGTATTCCARCTGTACCCCACTGCTGGCCAAAGGRACACACTGACAGGTAGCAATCAGCATTCTGATATCAGCTGACCTTTGCCAGCTTATACTTAACATCTGGTCTGATATTTTCTCCTGTAGCTTCTTGGATGCAAAACACTAAACCCTTTCTTAATTTACCTGAGGTAGTTTCTGTCAGAATCTGTGCTCAGTGATTAAATGGCCTTTRCAGGTGGAGAATGAGAGAGGGCAGACTGAGTTTCTGCAGTGGAGTAACTTACATTTAAAATGCAGGGGAAAAAAGATGGTCATTCTGCAGGTCAGCCAGCAAAAGGAAGGCTGCAGATCTCTTCCTTCAGTGGTGGCATACATGGAGGTTCTTCCTGCTATCTTTTTGTCAGTGTTAGACTCTTTTCCTCTGTCAGGTCTTGTTAGATTGGCCAAAAGATCAAAAATCMTAGTTAGGAACTAAGGAACAGGAAGTTGGTGCAGTTGGATAGCCTTGATTACTCAGGAAATGAATGGAGCAGAGGTGGGGTGAGGAGGATTGTGGGCAGGGACTTCATATGTTCCTCATATTGCTGTGGCTGAGCTCAGGAGAGGCATATAGACAGACAGTTTCATCTTTGCTAGGACTTTTGGCTAAAGAAAATGGAATGTTTTGCTGTGTAAAAGCAAGACTGGAATGAGAGATTAAGGAGAAGGATCCTGGGAAGTCTAGCAAGGTAGTCATTGGCTCTGATATGGTTAAGTATAGGAACATACCAAAAAATCCAAATAAAATTGCAGTAGAGGGAGTAAAGCGGGAGCTGTTATGACGAGAAGTCAGAAGTCTCAGTTGCATACAGGCATGTGAAAGGTGCTCTGGCATTCCTGTGTGTATGAAAACTGGGAGGAGGAGGGAATGGAAGAAAGAAGATGAAAAGCACTTAGTTTTTGAAACATTGAGCTTGCATGGGCATGAGCATACATGCAGTAGCATTGGATTTCAGGGAAATATGCCAAGCAGACAGATGATGCCTTCTCCCTGCCCTGTCCTGTCTGTGACACAGGAGCTCTGTCCTGGATGTGAGAGCTGTGGGAAGGCAGCTCTGTGGGTAGGAACCATCGGGCACTTGCTGCACATAGAGAGCAGGGGTGAAGTACTGGGACACACAGAAGGCTCCCTTCCAGATGGCCGGGCAAAAGGCCACATGAATGACACAGTGAGCTGCCCCTGCAGCCTGGTGACATTTCCAGTTCGGTTTCTGAGCGGGCACCCYGGAAGTGTCTGGGTGAATCTATCTTGGCTCCCTGCCTCAGTGCCTGAAACACAGAGGGAGGAGAAAAGTCTCCTCTCCAGTAAGTACAGGAGATTACATGTTTTGCTGACTTTATCTACCCAGCTTTCCAATGAAAGGAGGGAGATTTTTTGTTTSTGACACCTTCGTACTGTCCAAACTCTACAGACTACTTCAGAACAGTGTCTTTCYAGCCAGTTTTGGATCTGAGYAAGCATCAGATGTGCACAGCTGTGTAGAGAAATGACAACTCCTGACAGCAGGAGTTTACTTTTCTGCAGTTRTYTYTGCRTGATGTGGAAGTAACTTTCAGTTCYGTGGTAGGAACCCACCCTCAGGTTTTGAAGTGCTGCACACAGCCTGGCCATCCATTTTAYCAGTGAACCCTAATGTCTTCTTGTGTGTTGGATGGTGAAAAAGAAGTATCTGCACTAAAAGGCCCCCTCCCAACAAATACAAAAAAAACCAAAACAGCAGTGTTTCCCATTGTGCTGATTTTAGTCAGAAATACTAAAACCCCTTAAACATGAAATATTACTTAGGTTATCCTAAATGAGTTTGAAATGACACTGTAACTACAAAGGGTGGTAGGGATTGATTCACTGGCTGTATGGAGCTGAGAAGAGTAGGGGCTTGACTCTGCTGAGGCTCAGAGTTAAGGTCCTACAGATAGCAGTAATATTGCATAAATAGTAACTAATAAAAGTTATGAAAAAGTTTAGAGCTCCAGAACCTCTCAGAAGTGAAATAAGCAGTGGTTTTGTTTGAGGCTTTCTTCTGACTGGAGTCATACCACTCTTTCAAGGGCAAACTGTCTATTTGTGTGTTTGCCTTCCTCTGTGTGTTTGAGTGGGGAACGTAAAAATCCCAGCATGGTCTTATTTTGGTAATAGGATTGCATGCAGACATCCTTGTGGTTAAATAGAGAAAAAAAATCAAAACCCGTGAGATTTCCTGTGGAGGGGTTGTTGTTTGCAAGTGGAGTGATTAATGACTCTAGAAATGCATGTACAACTGCAAGATCTTGCTCATAACCCTCTAATGTAACTCCTTTAAAATCTCTGGTTTTTTTTTCCTGTGTCATTTAATTTGGTGTTGTCATTAAGTTAATAAGATGAACTTGGACATTTGAGGTTTTATTCTAATTCCTTTTTGAGTTTTTTGGTTCTCCCTCTGCCTTCAGACTCTCACATGCACATTTTCTGTCCAAAATTCATCTAAAAAAGACCTTTTTTTAGCAGTTTGTTATGCTCCCCAGAGTGGAACAACTGTTCTATACCTCTGAATATGGCAAATGAGGAGACAGAGCTTAACTCATTTAAGAGCACATGCAAAATCACTCGCTTCATTAAATATCATCTCCTATGGGCTTGGTGCAATGAGCTCATTTAGACACACTTCTAAAGAAATAACAGTTCACAATTTTTTAAAGCTTCACCAGGAGTGTATCCTTTAGGAACACTGATTTAGGAAGAAAGTTGGATTTTTTTTTCCCAACACTGTTTTTTGTCTYCTGTTGCTCATCCCCATGTGTTTGTTTTTCACAACAATGCAGAATTCAAGGTTCTTCTTTCAGCCTTTAAAGTCTGCAAACCCTGACTGTAAGGCAGGCAGGTTCCTGAGCTTCCTGAGATGGCTGCTTTTTAACCGGAATCTAAGTGGAAAAATGTAACCTTTTCTACAACTCTTACTGTAGGACCTCTGGAAACAGGGAGAACTAATTAAAGCTTTCTGCTACATGTTAAAACCAAAAGAAAATGTTTCTTTTCTCTTGCTTATACATCTCAATTTTCTCATGCACTTTTGCTTGCCAGGGTTTTGCATTTAACCCTTTATTTTTATTTGAGCTCCTCCTTCTGCCTTCGTCTTACCCGTGTATATTCTTTCTCACAAGGCTTTAGAGTGAAGCAGAAGCATGTGTGTGTTTGCTGTGGGGTGTGTGTCAAATGTGTTTTTTTACCTGTCAGCGTTCTCTGTCCCCGTTACTTTGTTCTGCTCCACCTCCCTTTGCAGCCACATCCACTAAACTTTGTTTTCACTGCTACTGACAGACATTTTTATTTTAATTTCTGCTTGTATCAGATCAGAAGCTGTGTCTCTTATCTCCACTCTGYCATGTTTTGCACTTGCTTTGTTTGCCATTTTGGTAACTGAAACTTCTAACAGAACTCCCTGCTATGTGGTTGGTAAATGTGTGGATGAGGAGAAGAGTTAGGCTGTTAAAAAGCAATTACAGACTCACCTTTGAAAAACCTAGAAAGACTTTTTAGCWATGGAACTGACTCCTGCTTAGTTCAGATTCACAAATTGCTGGTGTGATTTGGTTGTGACTTTAGAGCAAGTCTACTGTCACCGCTACTACTCTGCTCTCAGATGGAGATCACCTGSATTATATTCCTTCAGTGTGATGTTCAGTTTACCTGGTAGTGGAAAATGCAGCTTCTTCCTAACTTCATCTTCAGTTCCTGACTTGAATATGACTCAATTGCATTTTAGAAACTTAAAGCAGCATCTTTAGGGGGGTGTTTGGGCTTGTTGTTGTTTTTTGGTTCTTACTTTCATGGTAGAGTGTTTTCTCTCWTGTGGGTGATTTTAAACTGTTTTTCCCTCCTGATAAGTCCTACTAATACTGTAATATTTGAGAGTGGATTGTAATGACATCTAACATTCTGTTCTGTTTGTACTGCAGTCTGAGGTCAAGTAAACAAAGAAAGCAATCATTATGTTTAAGCATTCTTTTTTAATGAGCACATTAAAATCTACTCACAGCTACAGGATCAGCTGTGAAGAGAAGAGAGAAGTATGGGACTGAGAGTAGCACTGTATTTTTGAAGCAGTTTATGGAAAAATAATGGACTGAAGGGATATGTGAGGACTCTGGTAGGAAATAAATGGCACGGTGTTGTTGACGGAAAGGGTTTTGGCAGAAGGCTTGTTGTGACTGTTTCTGTGGCTTAGTATTGCAGAGGAATTTCCTACAGGCTGAACTAACCATTACAAATATGTGTCTGCTTTTAGGAGATCAAGGCATACAGTGGAGTCTTCTCAGGGAAGATGTCGTCTTTGACAATGAAAACCCGTTGTCTGGACAAAAGAGGAAGTTTCTTTAAGGTAAATGGGATATTTATACAGAATGTAAAGTATGTGGGTTTATGTGAAATGAGCTCTGTGGAATGTGCAGTACGCTCTGTAATACATAGTAAGCCTTTTCTGTAAAATGGGAAGTACTTCTTGAGCAGTTCTTTTTACAGGCACTGTTTGTGGCTAGATTAACCCCAGTTATTTCAYGTGTATATTGGTTTTTCTGTACACRGARTAGAATATTTGGTGTAAAATAGGTYATGGCTTTCTTTGCTGGTAACACTGAGGACATGAGCTTTATTATGCACATAATTGTATAGGCTTGAAAATAGGGGAGCCTTCATAAACTGGATTTGTGTGACTTAGAGTTGTGGTACGGGATTATGATTTCCATTACTGGATTGAAAATTGGTTTCACTTCCTTGCCTATTTTGAAAACAATTGGCATTCCAAAAAGCCAAAGTACAGTAGGAGTTACCAGTGCAGTTTTCAAAAGATGATTGCCATCTGGGTGTGTTGCTGTTTCCATTCCTTCTTCTCCTCTGGGGCAGAAGTTACCCTTAGGGCAGCCTTTAGGAAATGAAAGATCAGTGGTGCAGTGACATCTCATTTTCCTTTTGTCTTGCCCAGTGCTTCATGTGGTCAGCAATTAGTAGGGTCATCCAGTGACAGGAACCACCTCTCAGTTCTGCTGCACACTTTAGCTACCTCTCTGTAACTCAGGAGCACAAAGATCAGCCTTGTTGATAGCTCTCCACAGCCAAATAGGGAGAATAGCCCTATTTTTCAAATCACAGCAACTTTCTCAGTTCCAAGAAATGTCTTTAGGTTGTCTGTTTTGTGTATGCTGAAGGACTCCTGATGTCAGATGGGACTRTAAGCAAGCGCCCATGTCATTTTCTGCAGTCCTTTGGGATCTCCATATGTAATTCTTTTCTTCTAGAAAATCAATGCGGGAGCAGCTGTTTTTGTTCACGATGATGGGCTTACAGTTACTCTAAACTACTAGAAATKCAGTCTGCAGTCTGCCCAGGCAACTTCAGGAAACATTGTCAGTTAGGAAACTAAGGTCCTGAATTTTCTTAAGGACAGGTTGGCAGGGGAAGAAGATGCCTCCAGGTTACTTTTCCAGACCTCTCACCATCCCTGGGAAGGTTCTCTGTTGGACCACAGCTCTGAGCACACAGTGTCAGATTGGAAGCTGCAGGCAGTCAGTGTACCCAGCCTGTGTGCAGTGCACCTGGGTAACTTGTGTGTCTACAGTGAAATTACCTTTTTTTCYTCCCTCCCTCATGTGAGTAGAATTGTGACAACAGTTATATTTGTTTGCTACAGCTGAGCTGGTGAGCAAGCAAAATACTTGGCACATCAGATTTTTTGAGGTTACATATTTTAAATTGCCTTGTCTGTTCTGTGTTTAGGAGACCTAGTAATTAAGATAYGGCCTTTTATCCCTGCTGATCTGTTCTTCAGTATGCTCTCCCACRTGCACAGACTGTGCAATGTACTTGCATATGGCTCTTATGTTGTGCTTGTTACTTTTCAGTTGCCTAAGAAACCTTTACCACGGTGGTATGCAGATTSTCAGGGCACTTAAATCCTCTTATGGGAGTATCTTACCATTCTCAGCAACATTTGCCAGAAAAATCGCTGACAAATACCAGTGGGAAATTTGAACTTTCTCTTTTTTTTTCCTGGTTCTTAAGTAGTTCTCATTGCTGCAGCTTCTAACCGTCATCAGTTTTCTCACGGCCATTCTTTAGACTGTTAGTACACAAGAAAAACGATACTGCTCCCATTTTATGCAGAGCAGAAGTCTGTAGCTGTAGAGGGTAAATTCTGTGGACTCTATACCTTGCGATTGGTGCATGCTCAGAGCCAGCAAGTAGTAAAAATGAAGCAAAGATGGGGTTAGTCTTGGATAATTCTGGGACTCAATAGCTTGCCAGTGGYTACAGAGAGAGTCTGTGGCAAGGCAAGGAGCTGAATATGTCTCTGACAAACATCCTCTTTTACTGAATCATCCTCCTTCTCATCAAAATGTTCCAGTGTTTACTGAACTGGCATCAGAGGTTTTACACCAGTAAAACTCTTCTCTTYCAAAACCAAGCATAGGGTAAAACTTTGTTTCTGATGAATAAGATGCTGAGCAATGTCAGTGGCCCTGAGAATTCATAGCTCACTGTGCAAAATAACCACAATTTGCAGCCATGTATCAAAATATTGGATTGTATTCAGAGGCTTGCACAAGTCCAGAAGCAGCATTCCCAGTTTGTCTCGTCTCTGGCACTTGGCCATCTCACCACACAGAGCCCTCTGTGAGGGTTGCTACGTTCTGCTTATCAAAACAGGAAGGAAAAGATGTGATGCCAAAGAGGATGCMGGTCTCCAGAAAGAATGAAAAATGAGATGCCGGCAGGAAGGGGCAGTGGTGAGTGCTGAGACTCATTTGTCCAGTCTGATACTGATCTCACTGTCTTCAGTCTGCCAGATTTAGGAGCACCCATCTTACCTTTTCCTCTTGAGCTTTTGTCAGTCTCAGGGTTTGGCAACATTCTGTAGTGGTCATCTTGGCTGACTCTTTCAGTGCATTCTCAGAATGATGGCAGTTTCGTTAATTCTCTGTACAAGATTATTTACATTTCAAGCCCAAAAGCAGGAATTCAGTTTTYTTGCAGTTTTTTCTCATAATGTCCTGGAACAGGCATCAAATCAATGCCACCTGTGTTCCTCTTGGGAACAGGCCACTCTTCAAGTCAAGTGAGTAAGAAGAGCTGTAGTTATGCTGGGCTTCTAGGAGACACTGCCTATATCTGGTCCTGGGCATTTGCTTTCCCTGATGCACAGCAGTGATATGTATGCCAACAGATCTTCACAAATGTGACTGGAGCCYCTTGGGAATGGGTTGCTTCTGGTGAGCACACTGGCTCTGATTTTTGCTGTTTGTACAACATCCTGAAAGATGCAAAGCAAAATAGATGTGTTGGGGTGAGGGAATGCTGGAGTGCTGAGGTGCCACGTTTGTGGTCTGTATGTAGGCATTTCATTGTCACACTTGCCAGCTCCCAAAAGCTGAGCTCAGTCTTGTTGAGTTGRGAATCAATTGACAATAAGGAGAGTGTGGTACGTTATGAAAGGAAATGTTGTGGTTTAAGATGTTTGCATTTCATTATTTCGTCCATGGATGTTAGGAATGTAAACAGTTATTTCATGGGTATTTGGCAATCTAATGTTTAGCATAGATTTGGTTAAACAATACTGTACTGGGCTGCTATGTCAATTCATGTTGCCTGAGTCATAATTACTATTTGGGTTTATGGTGGTTGTACTGTAGTGTCTTTTTAACTTGCAGAACAGTGCTTGATCAGAAATAAATTCCAAAGGAAAACCATTAAACACAAAAACAGCTATTTTATCATGTTACATAAGATCTCATTTTAATTTTATTTTTAAAGCAGTACTAAATAATTAACCACCTGAGAAGATGTCATTCTTCTAAGTGTATTTTTCAGGTACACCTCCTCTTTCTATAGCATAGCAGGGTAATAACTATTTCACAGATCTAGAGGGTCCAAAACAGATTTCTTCTGATTACTTTTTAAGTCTTTGGGCTCATGTGTGCTGTTTCACACCAGAAGTGGCCTCTGACAAGTGTATCCATCCACTTCAGTTGTATTTTCCTTTGGAAACTGCCTCTTACCATGATTTCTAGTCTGTTGAAAAAAAGGGTTGAGTTTTCCTATTATTTCCTGCCCAAGAGGTATCACACTTGTTGCAAACAGAGAAGTCTCTTTGAAGAAYTCCAGTATTCTTAGCCTTGCACTAAAAAAGGCAGAACCTTCTTCTACTGCTTGTTTCCTCTGGGCTGGAGYTAATAATAGTACACACCTAGGATCCTTCCTGCACTCTGTAGAAACATGTTATTAAGAGCTCATCTTGTGTAATGCTAGTCACACGTGCATCACATGCACTGTATAATCACCAGAAGTTTTACTGATCCTAAGTACTGGGAAATGTTGTCATAAAATCATGAGTACACCTGATGTTATTTGATAGAAAAATGCTGTTGTAACAGTATGTGTCAGGTAATTGCAAGGATACACAAATGATGCAACTCTGTAAGACTTCCCTTTTTTAAATCAAGAGAAGAGCAACTTAMTTTTGTCATTAAAGAGAATTTAAGGAAAATTAGTTGGAAATTGCAGAAAATATTATTTAGTTTATTTTAGAAAAAAAGGAGGGCTTCTTCCTAGAGATCAGTGTTTTAGATCTAGTGGAGTACATGGTGGTATGTGATAGCTCTTTATTGCCACAGTTGGTTTTATGAATGCAAAGACTTAAGGTAATGCTGCCCATGAAGAAGAGCTCCTTGTGCAAAGCTGATTCATGGGCAGGAGCAGATCACTTTTCACACACTCAACCAGCTGAAGCAGCTTTGCAGGTGTGCTTTGCTGGTAATGCATAAATTCACCCCTTCTGATGGCCCATAATTGGCTCTGCTGACCACCASTCCGGGGAGCCTTGCTCCCCACCAGGGAAAATACATGCCCAGAGCTGGCTGCTGCATTGCCTCACCCTCCCCTTGTTCCTGGTCAGCCTCTCTGTGTGGATGGCCAGGAAATTGCCAAGCTGTCTGTCTTGGCACTGCTTGAATCTTAAGCAGCTGGTGTTTGAAGGAAAAGCTGCTGAAAGAGACACAGCATCTGTGCCATGCAGRGCTGAGTTAATCCCTTTCCAGTGGTTTGAGAATAGTCCCTTGAAGACTACTGGATGGCCAGTTCCTTCTTGATTATTCTGAGATTGACTGTCTTTAAGGTGCTTGTGTGAGCACTAGGTTTTACCATATTCCATGAAATGGAAGGAGCTGGAGTAATTTCTCTGGTTTCAGTGCTCTCCCTGGGCCCTGCAGACGGAGCTTGGACAGGCTGACAGTGCATGTGGCAGTGGAGGTAGAATTACACTGCTAATTCAGTGCAAAGGCTGCTCTGCCAATCTTAATSCCCCACTCTGAGGGGACACTGCTGCCCGGAGCCATGGTAAGACACCATTCATTGGGGGTGTAATGGCTTTCTAGTGAGGCCCACTGGGCAGCAGTGTCATGTGKATTTTTCACCATGCAAAGCCATTGTGGGGGCTGGATTCATCCCTTGCCCAAAACGGAGGGATGAAGTGACCTGTGCTCAGCAGCACTCATCTGTTCCAGGGGTGCGGAGAGGCCGCTCCGTCAGGACAGCCTGGGTTCCTCTGGCTGCTCCCTGAGGATGATGTGGGTTCCTCTGGCTGCTCCCTGAGGATGATGTGGGTTCCTCTGGCTGCTCCCTGAGGATGATGTGGGTTCCTCTGGCTGCTCCCTGAGGATGATGTGGGTTCCTCTGGCTGCCCCTTCTCATGGCCAGGGAGGTATTGCTAACAATGGCTGCAGTGACTCAGGGGTGTTTGAGAGTCAGCAGGTGGAAGGTCCTTGCAATGCCAATGGTACATATGGCTGGTGTCGCTGAAACTACAGGAAAAACCAAAACTCTCCAATTACAACTTTTAGCATTAGAGAATTAAGGCATTGCATTATTCTGGCCAGGATGTGCAACAGAAATAATTTCATCCACACATTGCCCAGATTGTGCAGAGAAAATCATTCCATCACACGTAACTCTTTGCTAGATTTTTCACATAGAGTCAAAACCCAGAGGAATTAATTGGTTCAATGTTCATTGGTCCCAAGTTACACAGTTCTTAKTATTTGGTTTCCTATTGGTTATTGATCCCTTCACCTTTGATGTTAATTGGCTTCACATTCTTTGTTCTCTTATCTTTWCCCAGACCAGATGTCTCTGTCCATGCCAGGGGTGATGTTTGGAGTTGATTTTTGTTAATAGTCGTTATCTTTTTTGTTTCTTCTGTGCTACTCCCAGTCTGTTGAGATGCTAAACTCATCAGGCCTCAAGTGATGAAACAGTCCTGTGAAAAGAAACTTCAATTTCTTCCTCCCTGGGCAAAGGCCAACAAAACCCCTCACTCAAGTTATATACAAAGTTTTTAAACTTTGTATCATTTCCAATACTGGAAGCTATGACATGGACAGAAAGAAGCCCTAATGGTGTGGGTAATGGTAATTTATTCTTACATAAGGTTTATTTGTTGAAGTTGGCCAGTTGTAAGCAGAGACCAAAAGTTGTTTTGTASTGATTGGAATAATACTGCACAGAAAGGAGAGTGTGAATTCCTGAGGTGGGGGAAAACTTCCAATATAACAATTTAGGAAGATGTTGCCTGCAATTCTTTGAAAATGCTGCTGTACTGTGTTGCCTGCCCTGAGTGGGACTCAGGCTCATACCTTGTGGGTGACTGTGAAGACTGTTGTGACTTGGACTGCAAAGCTGTTTTTGCTTCATGGGCCTGGGTTTTTGTTTGCTGCAATGTGCAGGGTGATGCAGGGATCGCTGCATCACTGCAAATGTTTCATTAAATTCCCTCCCAGCAGGAGAAAGGGAACCCTGCTAGGTTTATAGGCTGTGCGAACTTAATGCATTGCCTACAAAGAAGTRTTAAAGAGAGCATGCTTTGCAGATTTCATGGTTGGTTTTTCTCAATACAATGTTTCGCAGAACTCTGGCCAGCAAATTCTGCATTTCTCGGGATACAACCTGAGTGCTAATCTTGCTCACCTTAAAATGAGTTTTTGCCCCCGTACCCAGAATTAGGATGGTGTTCCACCTGAGCTGAAGGGTGGCAAGGCAGTTCTTTTTTTATTGAATTGTTGTGTTCAAGTGGAGTCCAAAACCTAATGTGAAACCCATTCCCTTCTTTCTTTGTTGCTTTTCATCCTCCATGGTATTGTAATGCTGGCTTAGTGTCCCTTCTGGAATAGAGCTCTTGCAGGTGGAATTCTTCTAGTTTTGGGTTTTTTTTTTTTTTTTTTTTTTTTTTTTTTAATTTGAGAAGGTAAATGCTACACACAGTTGAACAATTTAGTTCTTATAAGATGTTTTATAATACATAAAGGCTGCACATTTAATCCATTTAAATAAAAAAGCTAGCCAATCTGGAGGGTTTTGTACTGACACAAAACAGGAATTATTCTTCCTCCATTATGTGTGGCCCCAGCCCTTACTTGTTCCGTTGTAAGGGGAAGTCCAAATAGGATGCGATTTTACAAAAAAATAAAAGTTTGTAATCTCTGGTGACTAGACTTGCACCAGCTTCTTTTCCACGCCTCTTCCACTCACTTGATGTCATACTATTTTTGTCCCTTTCTAGCTCATTGACACAATTGCCTCAGAAATCGGAGAACTGAAACAGGAGATGGTACAGACAGATCTCCCAGTGGAAGATGAATCTGCTGATTGGCAAAGGTGATTAAAATGTTTATTTTCATAGCTCTGGAGGGTCTACCATGACAGGAATGTTTTCATTATCTGTCTTCTTGGGTGGATTATGTCCTAGCACTTTTCTCCCCGGCAGCATAGGAGGTATAGATAATCTTGCTCTTGATCCAAGGAATTTGCCTTTGTGCAGRAGTGCCCAGAGATTCAGTTCTTTGGTATATTTGCCTTATTATCTTTTAATTGCAACTGAGCTTCACTTCTACTTCCTTGTTAAAAAACTTGGATACTGATGAATCTGTAAAGCAGGAAACKAACATTATTACCATTGTCTGTGGCAGAGCTTTGCTTTCATGCTGTAAAGGCAAAGTCCATTGCTTCAAGTGGCTCTTTGAAGATTCAAGATACAGTAACATGATTTATTTATGTTCTCAGGTTAGGAAGTATAATATTGACTGCTATGAGCTGATACATATGTGGGTTATGTGTTTAAGTTAATTTACATGTGAGTAACTTGCACATGAAAAAAAAATAGTAGCATTAAGCTCGTACCTTTAAGTGGGCAGAGTGGGACCCCAGTATTTTGGCTTTGCTTGATTAGTAATGTCTGCTTAATTAACATCTGGAGGATAATCAATATTTTAATCATTTTATTAACAAGAGAACACATTTTTGTATTTATCTGAAATATTTGTTGCAAKAGGAAAACAACCAATATAGGCATTATGTTTTATCTGACTGCTGGTCTTGGCCATCTCTGAAGCTGGTGGGCTTTGTTCTTCTAGCAGTGAGTTAATGGAGTTGAAAATGGTTATTTAGAATGATACCCAAGATTTTTAGCTCATTTTCTTCCTATGAATTCTATTGAAATCTGCTAGAACTTTTTACAAAGCATATGTAGATTATTAAAAGAAAAATTAAATAGCATCTTTGTTGCCTAAGTGGTAAAGACTATTAAGATAGTTCGACTAGTGAAAGTCCTTGGCTATGGCCCTGTCTGAACATTATAYGAATTTTAAAGCTTTTGAGAGCACAGTTCTTTTACAGGGACAGAAAGGATACTTTCTTCATTTTGGTGAATTCAGCTAATGAACTTCAGAGATCATCAGCTAATTTTCAGTTTAGAAAAGGCTTATTGTGTCTTTTAATACATCACATGCATGAAAGGCTAAGGTCTACTGGTTCTTAAATCATGATGGAAACACTTAGCTGGAAACAGTCAACTAAACCTCCACATTCTACAGACCATGGGTTTTCTTTTTATTGTTTTTTTAAATGGATTTTTAATCTTAATTTGTTAATCTTGAATGAAAAATATATTTTGGTTTAAGATATATAAGTAAACATTATAAACGTAAACATAAAAAAGTGAATAATGCTATTTCCATGAAAAATAATAATAGCCATCCAAAATAAGTTGTTTTCTGTCACTTTGAGCTAATAATATGAAATATGAAGTCGGAATAAATGAGCTAAGGTCAAACCTGTGACTACAAAATTCTGAACCGCTTGCTTCTATGTAATGATGAAGTTATGTCACAGTTGGAATAAATTATGCAATTTACTTGTGCACTGCTACTTTTTTTTTGTTAAATAGAGCTACAGAGCAAGATTATAGTAATTTCAACAAAGGTTTTCAAGAATTCTTGTTTAAACTAGATACCTCACAAGGCTCTGTTTACTGTCATGACTTTATTTCTTTGTGGTTATGTTAAAGCTCAGCAATTAATATAGTTTGATCTTCTTATTGTTTATTCTGCTGTTCAGAAGTTGGTATGTAGACCTTTGGATTTACATTTAGGGAAATTTGAGCTCAATGGAATGTCCATTTTTCTTGCTCTTTTTCCACCTTTGCAGGTATTCACAGACACCCAGAACAGTTCTGGAAAGGTAGCAGATGCAGAGCTTTTGGCTGAATTCAAGCAAATAAAGACATGAAATTGCATGTCTGCAGCCTTAACGTTGTGGTGTGGGTGTTTTGTGGTTATGTGGTGACTTTCAGATTTGTACTTCTCACCCCAGTTTTATTTTTGACTCATCTCTCCTTTTATCATGTACGGCCCAAGTAATATTGAGAGTCATTCGAGGRCTTACAACTTTGGTTTGTAAATATRTAAAAGCCAGTCAAAAAAAAAGAAAGGATGGCAAAAAAAATTCACATATCTGTGTGAATATCCATGAGGGGGCCGACGCTTCCTGCTGTCCTTCTGTAGGGAAGGCTTCTCGGGGCACTTGGTGCCTTTGGAATGGTTCAGGGACACTTTGCTGGTGGTGGCAGCTGCAGCATCTTATCCCCTTCCTGCTCTGTTACCATGGAAAGMAGYGAGGCAGGGCTTTGCTCCCTGGCTYGTGTCCTGCACTGCACAGCCCTCATGCCACTGCCTTTTCCGCAGCAGTTACTAAATTCAGTAGAGCCGTCTTGTGTCTTGTATCAAGAATCACTTCTGTTATTGCTGACAGGTAGGCAAGTATCCAACAACCTTTTTCCCAGCCACCTTGTCCTGTTCTTTTAGCTGTAATGGGATGCAGGAGCAAGTTACCAGTGGCTTTATGCCCCTCCCAGCTGATGTTCAGTATATCTGTATAGACTGGCTGGGGTGATTGAGAGCTGTTAGATCAAAGAATTTACAGAAATCCAGGCACTTTTGCAGTGGGTAGTCAAACTGAGTTAACTGTGTGGTGGTTAACTTTGGTGGGATTGGAGCAAGGTTCAGATCATGAGCAAGGATCATCCCGGTTACATGCTTCAACCTGTTCCTTGTCTTTTTTACTGTGAGCTAAGTCTAATCAGGATGCAGCACAGCATTGTTTATCTTGGCAGTTACCTCTCTTTATTTCCCACSTGTTTATGGGTTTTCTCAAATCTAAGGAAACTTGCATGAATCATGTGTTTTCTTTAGTTCATTGTGAGTAGTGTTGAAACTCCTTTCCCACTGGGGAGGAGCCAGTGTACCAGCCTTGTATTAAAGCAGACCATCCATGAAGGCTGATTTGTGTTTTGGTTTTGAGTTTAATGTGACGTGGTYAGATTGTCTTTTATCAGGAGTCTCTGTAAAAAAACCCAAACAAATAACACAAAGCAGCCAACCAAACATTCCCYAACCTGAAAGTAAAACCAGGAGAGGAATTTAGTTGTTGCATAATATGCAGAATATTTTGCTATCATTTAGGTTATAGCAATTTCTTATTCTTGTTCTGTACACTTGAAGTAAATCGTTGTTCATGAATTCAGATGATTGTTCTTTCTGTGCAATTGTTTCTAAAGTAGTTACACACATCCCAGTCCCAAATAATTTTAGTTTAACTCTTAAGACATGACAAATTTCAAAAACTCCCATGTGTCAGCATTTGACTGTATGTCTAATGCCCAGATTATTAATTTAAATGATTTTAAGAATAAAAAGCAAACTGGGAATATGATGCTCAGTAGTGCTAGATCTCTGCAAATAGTCTGTCACAACAGACCCATGGGGTTTTTACTGCATTTGCTCCCAGGCCTTGGGAAGTGGCTTCTTGTWGGTTGTATGTGGTTTTGGTTTGCCAGGTGTGGTTTTTCCAAAGTGTGCTCTTTCCAGAGTTGACCAAGTCTGATCTTTCTCTCTGCTTCCTCCTTTATTATTTGGGATTAGGAAAAAGTTTTTTTTTTTTTACATATTGCCTATTCCAGTTTATCTCACCACAGATTGCAATAACATTTTAGTGCTGATTTAGCTGAGTTGCATTGGCATTGTTTGAACCATTAGTGTTTAGGAGTGGCAGAAATTCTGGTCATGATCAGATACTCCTAATCTTTGACTTGTTTCTTGAGGGAGCAAAGCAGCTGCAGCAAGGAGGTGCCTGTGTATGTAGGTCAGAGGGTTTCCTCCTTGGATCTCAGGATGTGGAAGGTATTCTGCATGTAAGTACCTAGAGGTTCCAAAAACCTGATAGCTCCCTATTCATGTTACTCTTCTGATTTATAATGGTTTAGGGGGTGTGTGATAAATAACATGAAGCCAGTCATAYCAAAGAGGAGCATTGTGACCCTACATGCCTGTGGCAACTCTTGCCAGCTTTAGGTGGTTTTGTGGTAGCACGCAGTGCCCGGCATTCTAGCTCATACCAGTTGCACACCTTCTTTTGCATGTGATGTAGCTTTCTTTACTAGGCAAAAAACTTTTCTCTCTTGGACATATTCACCCTGCAGCATGTTTAGTTTTCACCTCCTGACTAAGGAATGGAAATAATTTATATCTGTCTGAGCTTGTAGCCAGCATTGGTGTATAAGTTGCACTTTGCCACAGCTCCCAGCTAACTGGCACTGAGGGTGAGTGGGAAGTTTCTGAGCAATATTTACTGGAGGTACAGCTTAGGAAAATTCTTCTGTGGTTCATGATTTGACTTTCTGGAGATTTATCCATTGCGACACTGGCACTTTCCCAGGCTTTGCTGGGACCGGTTGAAAGGGGAACCCAGCATTCCTACTGAGGCACTTATAGAGCCCTGTCATAGACTGGTGTAAATGGTACTTCCCTCCTGCACCTAACTTGTTTCTGTGTCCCCTGAAGGCATACTGACAGTTGGTAAAAGCTTCTGATGCTTGTGGGCAGGGGGGTGAAATCATCTTCATTTGAGATGCTTTGCAAATCTGAAAAGCATCACATCATAAATAGGCAAACAGAAAGAGGAAAAAAGCAGATGCTGGTAGTGGTAATTGATGCAGGTAACGAAAAGTCAAATGATTTTGCCTGTTCTTTTCTGATCATATCCCAAAGTTCTCTACCCCATTTACTTTCCTTACTTGCCCTCTCCAAGATGCTGCAAGTTGCTGAGTAAAACTAGAAGAAAGCAGTTTGGTGGTTTGGCTTTTTCTGTTTGGTTGGTCAGTTTTAATTTGGTTCGGCTGATTTTCTTTGGTGTAGTTTTTTTTAAGGGGGGTGGAGGGACTATTTGTTTGTTTGTTTTTAAGTCGTCAGTGTTCCTGTGCTTGTGAACTCTGTGCCCACTTGCTGTGGGTACAGCAGCTGGCATAATGAAGAAGGTAAATGCTGTTGGTGGTGCTTAGGTCCTGTSCAAAGCACGGAGTTCAGAAGAGCTGCACGCTGTGCAGTGGGGAGGTGGAGTTGTGTTGCCCTCTGCTGCCCAGGGCCTCTTCTGCAACAGAAAAGGTCTGTAGGGGGACCACATCCTCTTTGAGGACAGTTGAGCTTGCACGGTGCTCTTTGTCTGTTCCTAAATATTGTCATCAGAAAACTGTTAACAGAGTAACTGTTCYGTAGTGATTTCTAGCATGGGGAGAATCACAGGATCTACTTCTAGCTCAAAAATTAGGAATTTGAGCCAGCAACACACGTTCACTTCTACTGGGTGTTCTGTATTATATGGATGATGGTGAAGCTTTGCATGACAAAAGGAGTTCTGAGAGTATTCTGTTGATTTTGATTTTTAATAACAAGTATCTGTAGCTTCCAAGAATTGTACTTCATTACTGAATGTAGCAGTAACTTTAGATGCCCTGCCCCAAATAAATTTTAACCTTATGTTACTTTGCCACATTCACACTTAGATTAGCTTTTATTTCTCACATAGGAGTCAATCCATAGSCAAAGGAATTTGAAGCATAAATATAGAATTCCTTACTTGTTTATGAGCCTCAGAAGTGTAGTATCAAAATGTGAGGTAAGGACCTTTTGTGGCAAAGTGTAAAAAAATGTAAATATTTACAGAACTTAGCAGAAGTACCATAAAAAGTGACTGCCACTTATGACTTTTTTTAAGGAAGCTGTGCCTAGGGAGGGTTATTTGGGGATTTAACATTTTTTTCTTGTTTCTTTCTTGGGTTTCTCATCTTTCTCRCTTCCTCTCACTCTGACCTCTTAGCAGAGGGGAGCAAAGATGGATGTGCAGCTGTGAAGACAGCAGAATTGCTGGATCAGAGACAGTATTCTGGGGATAAGATGAAGTGATGCTGGTTTGTGGACTTCTGTTGTGAAAATTATCCCTCCAAACAGACTCAGTTCTTGTGTCTGGTACAGTGATCACAACAAGAAGTGACTTTCTYCATTGTCAAGAGTATTGAACAGATTTTTCTGGCAGGCAGAAGAAAGGAGGATTTCTGTGGGTTGCAGCATTTGCAATCGGTTTGGGAATAAAAATGTCTGAATTGCATAAATATCTTTGAAGAAAAGTTTTTCCATGTGTTAGCATAGTGAAGGCAAGTGAAATGTTCAGGCAATCACATCTGCATTTACCATTGTGTCTGAAGTGATGGCTGGATTTCTGCAACCTCATAGAAGAATGCTAAGGCTTATCTTCAAGTTAGCTTTGAATTGAGAATTTTTGTGTATACTAAATACATGAATTCTCAGTAGGAGAAATACCAGCCCAGAGTGCCAGCAGTGCTATGAGCTTTCTGATAATTCTGTTTGCTGAATTGAGTGATTGTTCATAGGAGGTTAGCATATCTAATTAATTTTTCTTTTTTTTTATTTTTCCACAGTCTAATAAAGGACATGGATAATGTCTCTCCTGAGAAAAATGATGTAAAAAGCTGTCCYCGGGACTCTGGATATGACAGCCTATCCAACAAGCTAAGCATATTGGACAAGCTCCTCCATACTCACCCTGTATGGCTGCAGCTTGGTCTGAATGATGCTGAGGCCATGAAAATTTTACAGGCCCAGCCTCCTGGGGTAAGAAGTTACATCTCAATTCTTTAGGGACATGTTTTTCCCAAACGTTTTGCTGCCATTCTCCACCAAGGTGTTCGACTCAATACAGTAATGACCAAGTAAAATTCCAGTATGTTTTAGATCAGACACCGTGAGGTTGTTCTGGTGCCTTTTGTGTATGATCTGTGTTTATTCTGGCATCTGTGATGAAGCTTAAGCAGTGTCCTTCTGCCCTTCTCCACAACAGATATTTCTGGTTAGGAAATCTGCAAAGCTGCAGAAGAAAGTCATCTCTCTGCGTCTGTCCGGTGACTGTGGGTCCTGCGTGAAAGAATTTGCCATAAAAGAAAGTACATACAGTAAGTTGTGAGTTACATACTTTTCAACTGTTACGTACTTTTTCCCTGCAGGATGCAGGAGCACTCACACTGCTGAAACCCACAGGTTACCCACAATCATGCACATAATGTCGTGGGCTGCCTGTGCTTTTCTCTGACRTGGGCTCTGGGTGAGGGTCAGGCATATTCTGCCTGGAGGAGGGCAGATATATAGAAACATTAAAGGCTGCTGCAACTGGAATGCTTCCATTGTGTACCTTGCTGAATCCATGATCCATTTCTTTTTAGGAGTAGTTACCCTCTTAGAAACTTAACATATCTTTTGTAGAAACAGTCTTTAATCCTGTCTGCTTTCAATGAAATGCTCTTGCATTTCCTTGTACTCAGGGGACTGTTCTTGGATGCAACTTTGTCATGAGCTCTGTCTACAATTTAGGTGTGGGAAGGGTTGTTGTGGGGTTTTTTTTTTCTTTAATGGCTAAATGGATTTCAACACTGAGGAACTGTTCTGTTGCAAGAACAATAATTTCTCTTTTTAAATTCAAACWATATTTGTTCTTTCTTTAGTAGAAATGAGCACATGTTAGTGCTCTACATTGTTTTGAACCAATAATTCCCTTGTATCTTTAGAAGGGAGGGTGTGAAAAATAAGTTTGAGATTTAGGAAAGAAAAAAGGAAGCTGCAGCTGGTGAGTGTGTGTGRCACTGAAACTGCAAGTGGAGCAAATATTTCATTTTAACAAGAAAGAGAAAACTGGAGAAAATTAGCAACAATTTCAGTTAAATTTCCCTGAAACAGAGGGTCTGTAGTCAATTTCTATTTCCATTTGTAAACTGACATAATTATACTTTYGTTTTTCCTTTTTTATCTCTCTCTCCCCTGCCCCCAGCAGCAAGTTAATTATAWGTGTCTGATTTTGGTTCCAGTTACAGGCAAGACAAAGAGAAGAGAAAGTTGTCAATAATAGTTGATCTAAGKGTGGTTTAAGGCTGTATTTATAGGCTTGTTACACTAATAAATTCCCTCTCTCCCCCCTAGAAAATAATATTGTCTTTTATGAAAAAAATTTTTCCACCAGGGGGAAATATTYACTGATGGTTATAGCTATTTGTCACAGCTGACGTTTTAATTGTAGGCCAGGATCTGATCACTTTTCTTCTCTGAGCCCRCTCCCAGCTGACCAGGATGCTTAGTGTCTGCATTGTTAGTGCCTCTCTTAAAGAGATCCCTTTCTCTGGACACATAAATGGCCAGGTTGACCTGTACTTTGTTGCAAAATTTGGATAAAAGGTTGGTACCTGACATGCTTGTGGTTCCTGAGAAGACTTCAGAGTCAGTAGCACTAAAACGTTGGCATGGAGAGCTGGCAAAACTATGCGTTTGCTATTCCCTTGCAAAGGTGGGCTTGCTGAGGTGCCTTTTGGCTTTCCCCAGCAAGCCTKGGAGWYTGCCTTCTTGCAGCACAGATCTCTGAAGCATGTGCAGCAGTGAAAGTGGTTTCCTTGGGAGCTGATTTCCAAAAGCATTCCTCTGCCAGTGAAACAGGGTCTGTGTGTGCACCACACCAGCCACATTTTGCCCCCATGGTGCAGCTTTTCTAACTCAGAGGTGGGCTGAGGCAATCACAGATTTTGTGGTCACCCATTTGTAGAAATTKCCCAAGGCCACGAGAGACCAGCATTTGAGTACCTCAGGAAAGTGTTGTACCACCACCATTATATTTCACAAATACTTTTCCTTCTGCTCTGGTCTCAGTCATGTCCAGAGGCAAAAGATCTGGATCATTTCACTCTAGGAGCTTCTTCTGCTTGATCCTTGTAGTCATGGGGTGCGATTTGCTGCTGGCATCAGAGAGAGCCTGAGGTGATTGTCATTATTACTGAACAAGTATTTATATCAAAAACAAGGTTTTTTTAATACAAGTTAAAAATAACAAGTATTTATATCATATGAAAAAATGGGATGAAGTAAGGAAAAATGAAAGGCATTGCTCGTATCTTCCTCTCCCCCTGTGCAAGGCAATGACATGCAACAGAATTGTCTGAGTTTTTAAAGGGTTTTCAGGTTAAAAGGTTTTCTTGGAGTGAATGGAAATTTATCTCCCTTTAGGTTCTACACACCTGGGGTGAAGACAAGTGAGTAGAATGGAATTCAAGAGGAGGAAATAAGAGATTTAAAATTAGGTATATTAGTACACTGRTCAAACAAAGCCTCAGTTACTGATTTGTTGTCTATTAGCAAAACACTGTCCTCTTAACAATCTGTTTTACAGGAATTAGACCATATGCTTGGAATACAAAAGCAAACCAGCTACCAAGATCATCAGTATAATTCTTGAAAATGCCTTCAGCAGAGATATGTACTCATCTACAGAGTTGTTTTCTCTTAACCAAACAGTAGCTAGTTAGATGGTGAAAGCTTACTGGCTTCATGCAAAAATCTAAGATGTGTTTTAATAARTTTTTATAGAGATAGTGGATTAATGTGTGATTCTTTCTTGTAACTTTCTTTGCAGCGTTTTCCTTGGAGGGGTCTGGAATAAGTTTTGCTGATTTGTTCAGACTCATTGCTTTCTACTGTATTAGCAGGTAAGATCGTGTTATGTTTCATGTCATGTCTTCTAGATTGTCTTGAGAAAAGGAGTTTAGAGGTCTTGGTTCAGCATGATATTTATGTTGCCAATCTGCAAATATTCTTTGGTAGCCTTTGAAGGTAATGGAAGAAATAAGAGATGAGACTTGGAAGCAAGTGTCTGTGTCTTACTTCATACTGATTTTTGGGAGGCTGCTGTGATTTTACCCATCCAACCATGAAATGGTTCCAAGCTGAACTTTACTTTAGCTGGTATCTTGTCATTCTTTTCTAAGTTCTCTGTAGCTCATTTAAAAACAACCATAAACTAGCTTGCAATGTCCATTTCTTGGAATTGCTGGTAAAAAGAATTTTTGGAGCATAATGGAAAGAAGTGAGATATGTGGAGTATGACAACTTAGAGATGKCAATTTAAATGGTGAAGAACAAAAATGGCCTTGTCAGCTTTACAGTTCATGGTTGCCAAACTTGTTTTCCAGGTAGTATGCTGAAAAAAAGCAGCTGGTATTTTTAGTCTTTTGTTTTCAATTTGACTGCAGTTTACTGGTGAAAATTTCCATACTGATCCTTGAGCCCTATAGATATGCACAGACAGGACACAACCAAACTACACACATGCGCATTTTCTCAAGGAAGGAAGTAGAGAGAGGCAGCTGTGATGGTCTCAGTCCTTKTACTGCATTAAGACTGTCAGTTAGTGCTGACCATGGTGATTTCTGGTGTGGGATGCTCTGAAGTTGCTGCGCTTGCTGGTTTAGTTTGGGGTGGAGAAGGATCTTAGACCTCCTTTGCTACAGCCTCTGTTTAGCTGAGCTGTACATGCACGTGCTAAAAGCAGCATTGATACTGCATGGGTAATTGGTCAGCTCTCAGATGAGAAATGAGCTAAAAAATGCATTTAAAAGTAGTTTATTAATGAGATATTCCTTACCTGGTGCTCATGTTTCAGTGCTGCCCATTTGCCAGGCTCTGGTAAATGCTCTCTAAATACCTATAGGATCATGCAGCAAATAGAGATTTCTTGGCATTAATCTACCCATTTTCTTTCATTGAAGGGCCAAAGGTGTGTTGCATAGACTTAGGGAGGCAGATAGATCRCTGTTGTGAAAAAGAGACAGTACCGTTTTGTACATCACAGGAAATCCAAGATTTTCTAAAACCAGAGGGAATTTCTTGCAGGAGGTACCCAAATGGTTTTTATGAGGAGTCAAGGCTTAACCTGCCTTTCAMGTGAGACCATGATGATGATCTGGACTCTAGATTGTCTGTGGTACTATGTTGAAAAAGCCTTTCATATATCTTCTAGCTACTGTGTAAGTCTCCTGCATATGCTTGATTCGAGTGTGAGTGAAATTCTGAGATCGTGTTTTTTCAAAAAGATAATGTACAGCATAGAGAATATTTATGTGATRAAGACCCACTATGTGTCTGTGCTACAGCAGATGGTTGGCTTGTTCACAGCCTTAAAATCAAAATTCATACTGACACCAGTTGTGTAGGATTCTCATTTAGTCTTTTTCCTTGGGTACTTCTACTACCGATGTTGCTTGAGGGTATTGGTACCTGGGTATGGGTATTGTGCAGGTAAGAGGTATAGTGTTGGTTGATGGCAGTGATTGTACAATGCACATACAGTTACTTGGTTTTGTCCCTCAAAATCTCGTCTAAAAGCTTTCTACACTGCATTTGGCTTACGTTGTTTTTTATGCATTCACCTCCCTTTTACAATATCTGTTGAATGTCTGGTATGCAATGAAGTGAAACCGCATAGGAGAATAAATTACAAAAATGTTCTTAAATGAAGTGTTTTCAGCCTAGAATAGAGTAATAGAAAAACACCCCTAGCTTAGAAATTTTTAGAGTGGCTGTGCAACTACTCATTAAACTTTTTATTCTGAATAGTAGTCAACAGTGTATTCAGAAAGTAAGAAGTTTTGTTGAAGTGTGAAGGGCAGATAACAATTTTGCGTCTTACTGATCTGCTTGTAGAAGAACAGGTGTAAAAGGTTCTGTTGGAAAGGCAGAAGATMCTGGATGGCTCTGTGGGAATGATCCTAGGCAAAGTCCTGGGCACTTGATTGTCATTTGCACTTCACTCTGCAAGGTAAAGGAGCCCTGTGGTTGGTAATGTTTAATTATGTTTAAGGGTCYTGCTACCTGCCACAGCTCAAGAAGAAAATAATCAAAGATCAGCCACTGCCAGTGTTAAAAAAAAAGCTCTTAAAGCTGTGGATGTTGCTGAAAACTATAATGTTTTTTTTCTTTTTGGAAATAGGGATGTCCTCCCATTCACACTGAAGTTGCCTCATGCAATTACTGCAGCAAAGACAGAGGCTGAGCTTGAAGAGATTGCTCAGCTTGGACTGAGTAAGTAGTTCTCCACATAGATGTCCTTCCCTGTAGTGGTCCTGTAACCTTGACGAAATAGTCTGTACCAGTATGTAGTTCATATTGGTTAGTGATGATACAAGTTTCATTTAGACAAGCACCTGCTCTTATTTGGGAGGAGCAGACCTTGTTCTCACCCAAGTGGTGTTCTTCCTTCCTTCTGCACCTTCCATGATATTTTGGTTAGTGCTGTTTCCTTCTTTCTTCTCCYCTCCCCTCTCTGGGCAGCCCTGGGGCAAAGCAAATCTTAGAATYCCCACACGGAGGTTGGTGAAGCTTCTGCTCCATGACCTCATGCTGAGTGTAGGAACTGAAGTTCCCTGTTAATAAAACTTCTATTCAGATTGACATACAAACTTAAAATGGTGAATTTTGAAATCAGCACCTCAACAAAGTGGCATATTAAGAAAATGAGAGTACATATATAGGATCTGCAGAAAATATCCACGGGCATGGGTTAGGTGAAATTTTTTGAATACCAAAAGACAATGCAAGGACATGTCCTTGCATCGCTTGGCTGCTGCAGCCAAACACAGGCTCATTGTAAAACATGCCTTGAGGTCAAAGGAGATGGATGCAAAGCCTGGTGAGATTTGAAACTTTGAAACTGGGCACCACCCAGATGAATCATTGAGCAACTCCACATTGAGCAAAGTGCTGAGTGGCYTCATTTCCTTCTCCAGGAAGGGAAGGTTGATTGTCAGCAGTCTTTGTTGCAGTAGATTTTTTTAATCATCCTTGTTTTTGAAAAGGATCCTCTCTAAATCAGTGTTAGTATGAGGATCTCTTGAACTGTTTGGTGGGTCTTGGCAGTAAAGCCATTCATGGGGATGTATTGCAGTGCTTTGCATTTTGATTTGCTGCAGTAGCAATGCAATTAAAGGGTTTCCTTTAGAGAGGAGATAAATTACTTCTGCACTRTTTGTCTGCAAGTTTAGGTAATGTGGTGAAAGTATGGATTATCATGGGAATAGAGGTGAATATGGTATTATTGAGGTCAATGTTTAATTGGCAAAAAGAAAGTAAAAGGTATGATTGGGATAGAGTGTAATGAAGACAGTCTCCCAGTGATGCATGGAAGACTAAAGTAAAATTAGGTGAGTTTCTCCAGAGGGATTGATAACAGTAATGTTGATCAAGCTCTCCAGGCTAACCACACTTGATCCTTGGTACCCAGAGCACTGTGGCCTACTTGCTGCAGAATTAATCTCACTCTTGAACAGTTTCTGCATTGTGTGTGTTTTTTCTTTAGCTACTGCAGTTGAAAGCTGAGGTGGAGATGGATGGATCAGTGTCTCTGTGGTTGCTGTATTTGGGATCAATTACCTGATATACCCCAGATTAAGATGAGCATTTCTATGAGCTAAAATCAGGAAACAGTGTTTAGATTTTGATGGAGTTTTAGGTGTCCACATGCAGAACAGCACACCAGAAAGCCCTTCAACACAGACTCACGAGAGGCCTAAAAGCTCCCAACAGCCCTTCCCATTAAGTGTGAGTTTTCTTTGAGGAACGTGTAGGCACAGAACCTTGTGGTGTGTGAACACAGAGAGTTGTATCCCTTGTCAGAGCTCTGTTGTGCAGTAGGCTCAGCAGGAGAGCTGCACAACAAGGTCAACAGCATGTAGCCCAGCAAACTACATCAGGAAGAGCTTTTGGTAAAGATTTCAAGACCGTTGCTAACCTGTGAAGTTTCATGTGCTGAACATAAGATTGCCTCTCAGTCTCCCTTGTGTTTCACCTGCAGCAGTGTTTACATCATGCATGTTTGCAGCAGCCACGTGCCAGGAACTGGCCGGTCTGCTGAGAGATCTGCAGGCAGGATGTGAAGTCAKGAAGCTGGGAACACCAGCAACATGGCATGACTATGTAGAGAAACGTGCCTATATACATTCTCTGGCAGTGGCCTGTCACCATGGGCTATTTCCTGTCTTCTGCCCCGCAGGCAGGACACAGCTGTTTGATGTGGACCTGTTGTGGATGCCTGGCATTCATGCTCTTGGGCCCAGGTGTCATTGCTCAGTTGCCCCCATTTTTGACACACTGTGGGAAAAGGGACCATGTCAAGGTCGGCAAATTACAGCTAAATCCCCCTCCTCTGGTATTCTGCCCTTATTTCAGCATGATTGCTGCCTTCAAGGGCACATCTGGTTTCAATCTTCATACCTTCAGGAACCAATGCTCTTTTCTATTGACTCAGTTGCACAAACATGCTGACACTTTGCTGGGATAAGTGCAGAGGCTGCAGCTGCAACTTGCTGGTGTAGCATAGGTTTTCCATGTGGGACTGCACACGGAGTCTCTTTATGTGTTGCTACATGTCTATATCTGCAGGCAAGCTGTCCCTGTGGCAAAGGCAGGGCAGCAGGCCAGTGTCCTGATTAAGCACTTGAACTTGGTGTGCATAGTTAAAGGTGTTGTATGCATCTACTACTGCAAAATGTGAGCTGTCTTTTCATGTATAGTTTCATGTGTCCGCTATGAAAAGAAACCAAACCAGAATATTTGTAGAGTAGCCTTTAGCCTTGTGTGAATCAGCTTAACTGTTGTCTTTAATTAAGTGAGCTTATAAATATCAGCTGAGAATCTTGCCTTATTTCTCCTGAAATGCTAGCGAGTAGTTTGAGATGCTAGCGAGTAGTTTGTGTTCATTTTGGTCTCAAGCCAGTGAAAAGTATTATATTACAGTCTCCACTCCTTTCTTTGATTCTCAGTTTAATTTTAAGCTTAGTGGGCTCATTGGAAGCTATTCATTGGTCATGGTATTTATAAATGAGTAAGAGCAGCCCCAGGAATGTAGCATGCAGTTATGTCTGGTGGTGCTTTAAGAGGTTCACTTGGATTTTTTTTTTCTCTAGAATTAATAAAATCTTGCCTGAATTTCTTAAAACTTTAAACTGGTGTTGTTGAGCTCTGTGTTCTGAAAGCCATCTGCATGCTGTTTTGCATTCTTACGTTAATGCAATGATGATTTTCAGACTTTTGGAGCTCCCTGGCTAACAGCAACCCCCTGGATCCTTCACCTCCCTGTAGGCCTGTGCCTTTGGACAGTGCTCGCAAAGACTCATGCCAGCTCTGCCTTATAAATGGAGTGCATTCTATACGAACCAGAACGCCTTCAGAGCTGGAGTGCAGCCAGACCAACGGAGCGCTGTGTTTCATTAATCCCCTCTTCTTGAAAGTGCACAGCCAGGATGTCAGTGGAAGTCTGAAAAGGCAGAGCCCGAGAAGTCAAGACGTGAATGGCACAGCGAGGCCTCGCTCCCCCCCGCCCCGGCCGCCACCTCCTGCTATTAATAGCACCCTCACGAGCCCACAGCTTTCCAGGACTATAAAGCAGCCGAGCATGCCAGAAACAGTCAACCATAAGAAGGAGAGAGGCTCGGATTTGCTGCAGAACAAGCCCACCCCGATTCCGCCTCCTCGGCTGAAGAAGCAGGCTGCATGCTCCGAGGCGGACGGTGCCTCCAGGAGCGCGGCGGCAATCCGGCCCGGCTCTGTGCGCCTGCCCGAGGCCGCTGCTGTTCCAGGTGAAACCCTGCCTGAGCCAGCCCCAGCAGTTTCCAAAAAGACGCTGGCTGCCATCTCTGAGTCACACATCCCGTGGAATGGAGGCCGGCAGAGACTGAGCGACATGAGCATTTCCACCTCCTCGTCCGACTCGCTGGACTTCGATCGGAGCATGCCGCTCTTCGGCTATGAGGGGGACACCAACAGCAGCCTGGAGGACTTTGAGGGGGAAAGTGACCAAGAGAGCATGGCACCCCCTTTGAAGCCTAAGAAGAAAAGAACCAGTTCGTTTGTTCTCCCCAAGATTGTGAAATCTCAGCTACGGAAAGTCAGCGGAGTTTTCAGTTCCTTCATGACCCCCGAGAAGAGGATGATTAAGAAAATTGCAGAGATGTCCCGGGACAAACGCACCTATTTCGGATGCTTAGTACAGGACTATGTAAGCTTTCTGCAAGAAAACAAGGAGTGCCATGTTTCRAGCACTGATATGCTGCAAACAATTCGTCAGTTCATGACCCAAGTCAAGAACTATTTGTCCCAAAGCTCCGAACTTGATCCCCCAATCGAATCACTGATTCCCGAAGACCAAATAGGTAAGAAACACTGTCCTATGTTTTGGGGGAAGGTGAAAATRTGTAATCTGTGTGTGTTTATAGTGATAGTCTTCGTCCAGTTCAGAAAGGTGGGGCTAACTTTGCTAGTAAAGCTTGAGCCACCRAGTATTTGAGTCTTAAAACAACATACTCCCCCCCTGCATCCCCACCTCACCCAAATCACCCTATCGGCTTGAAATGATTACACTACGAAATTGTTCATAAGAAGTTACCCTTAAAATAGGTGCACTGTGGACTTTTTACCTGGGATTATTACTCTTTTAGCTGCTGTACTGTTAACAATAGAGAATCCTTTATTTGCTGGCACCCATGTATTTTTCCCTGAATTGGGCTGAAATAGTTCTCAGTGTTTGGTCTAAAACTTCCTAATCTAACTATATGGATTGTAGCTGTAGAACTAGAATTTATTCAGAACCAGTTACATGTAAGAGCAGAGAGACATTTTATGACAACTTAGTTTTGAAATAGATCTAATTCTTCCAGACATTSTTAGTCACTTCTAGCAAAGCTGTACCATCCCTGCACTTGAAACTAAACAAAAGGTAGCTAAGAGTTCTAGAAAACAARCTTATGCAAGAGAGAGAAGGGGCTGCTGATCTCTAGTTTTCTGTACTTCTGTGTGTTTGTGAATAGTTGTGGATAAGCTGTATACAGTTAGAATATATGTTTTAACAGCAGAGAGGGATTTGTGAATCCACAAAAGTGAAATCGTTTTTGCTTCATAAATCTCTGCTGCCTCTCTTGCAGAGTCTGAGCAATATTTGTAAAAGAGCCTGTAAGCCACATTTAAGAGGTAAACATGCCTCAGGGCAGAATACTTTCCTTGTGAGCTCACTTCAGTCCTAATTTGCTTGTTTTTCTCCCTACCCCAGTGTCCCAACAGTTGGCTCGGTGCAAAATTGGCAGATACTTCTCTCTCTGGGATTAGAGGGTAATTTTATATTGACAKTCTGTCTGTCCTTGACCAAGAGGAAGTATTCTCATGTAACCTCAACTTCATTTACACAAAGTCAAGAAAAAGTCACAAGCACTGCTAAAGCAAATACAAAAAGTGAAGAGTGTCCTCAGTGTTGAGACTCAGAGATATGTAATATTCTCACTAGAATAATAAAGACTGTTAGGTGGGTGTTACATGGAAGAACAAACACCAACTGAAGCAGGGGGTTCAGGCACATTTCTTCAGAGTGCTGGATATTYGACAAAGCAGTTCAGATCCAGTTTGGTTGTAATTTTGTGAAAGCTTAGTTTGTTATGTACTTCTCATTTCACAAGGGTGTGGTTTAATCTGACTGTGGGTCTCCCAAGACTGAAAAAAAATGTCTGCTATTAAAAGTTTCAGCCTTTGGAATAGCATAAGCTCTGAAATGTAACTAAAACTGCACTGTTTTTYTTCAGCGACAGAAAGTCTGGTTTTGATCATGTGACTGAACACAATTAATTTATMAAGTGGGCTGGTTTAAACAAAGGAAGAACTTGCTTTTGAATCATTTACTGCCTTTGGGTTGAGCCAGCAAACAACTGCAGTGGATCAGATGCATCAGATGTTGCTGATCTAAGCAGATAACTATGTGACAGCAAAATTTAGTCATCCCTATGGAGAGCTTTTTATGAAGTAGCCCTGCCTGTTGTCCACAGTTTTGCTTGACTATTTCAATAAGGAATTACAGCCCAAATTTCAACTTTGTGAGTAGTCATTTATCCTCTCTTGTCAGTTCACACTTCCATGGTGCAGTTTTTTTCCTCTAATATATCAGCCTGGTGCTGAATGTGTGCTTCTGGGGTAATMCTCCTCCTTTCTGAGTCATTCAGGCTTCACTTTAACTCTCTCTTGTCTCCTGAATATCAGTAGGTGCAAGAGCAGCACCCGCAGGTTTAGTGAAGCCCTAAGTGTTTGGAACTTCTTTTTGTGTTTCTCTAACGATCTTTGTGATTGTGTGGTTTTTCTTCTCGACCTGCATCATGGAGTCTTGCAAGCAAAAGACTTCTGTGGCAAATCTCTTAAGTTTCCCAGATAGGGCTCCTATCAAATTGTTGAACATCTGCAAAATCATTGGGAAAATATGCTTCAGGGTTTCTAATTAGTCCTGACAGATGCTCCTAATCTTAAAACTGTAGGCTGTTAACCCTYCCTGAAGCAATGGAACTCCCAGTGTTGAGACAAAACCAAGAGTAAGGCACATGGTTCTTTATTGTTTAAGGATGAAKGCAATTTATTTTTTAAAAGACATTTACACCTCAATTTGTATCAATAGAGTGAAGACTTGGACTGGTCAAGAGAYCCTGATAGTCCACAGCTGCTTGATCAGCAAATGTTTAGGAGTTTTTGTTTGTCTTTTCCTGGCTTTGAACAGAAAGGAGTCATGTTGAATGTTGTCACTTTGCCAAGTGGGATCTAACATCCGAACAACTTCAGTCTCAGTGCCTGAATCTGGCCCTGAACCAAGAAATTACTGGTTTAAACYATTTGTCAATAAGGTACTAACTGATCATGTGGGAACATGCCTAAACAATACTGTCTGTTACTTGTTTTGGTACTTGTAATACGTAAGGGATATTTAAATGCTGAATGTTAAAAGAAGCTTGTAGAGAATGTGTTGGCCCCTTACTGGCAGTCCATGCCTTGTTGCAGGGCCTTGGGTCTGTACAGAGGAGGTGCAGGCAGWCAGAGCTAGAAATACTAAATAAACTAAAGCCCAGGACTGACCCCCCTCATACCTCTTTTCAAGTATCTGTCTTGTTTGACAGTCAACCATTGATAATTGGGTACTCAGAGAAGTATTTTATGCACCTGTCCATTCACCCCTCTAATGGTTATGGAAAGGCATATGTCCTTTGTTTATATGCAAGGTGCACAGAATTAGGGCTATGGGTCTTAAAAAGGTAAACTGCAGCCCACCCCAGATTCCCTCTTTTTAACTCATCCAATTCTCCTCCCAAAGGAATTAGAATRCTATATTGCTATTTCTGCTTGAAAAGCTCATGTGTTTTACCACTGTTGCTTTTTAGATGCTTGTACATTTGTTCTGCTGTTCCTGTCCCTTACTGTAGCATCTTTTCATGCTGAGTTGAAGCTGACAAATGTGTCCCTCAGTGCACCTCCTTTCACCACAGGAGTGGCGGGATAGGGCAAGTAGGAGGCGGCAGTAAAAGCACTGAGCAGAGGCAGMGGATCAGGTTCTTCTTTTTCTGACCATCCCTTGGATTTGCTTTGTGACTTCCTCCTTATTTCTTTTCTTTACTGCTTTAGGAGATGGCATGTTTACCATACACTGATAGCATGAGTTTTAAGTAACCCACAGCTGCTTAAAGCAGAATACACCAGCACAGAGAGCTGTGTGATTTTTTTAGTGTGCTTTATGTAGGTCACATGAGGGGAGGCTGTACATCCCTAGTTGCTAAGTCCCTGCCACCACTGCCTGTACATCAACCACCTCAGTCCTATCTCTCTTTTCAGGGTTGTGCTAATTATCAAGGAACGTGGGTTGTGTGGGATTCTGTTTTCAAGTCTTGCTCCTGTGGAGGAGGTACCAATGTCTGCACCATGGGCTAAGCTTGTGACAGTGTAGACACCACCAAGAAATGGATGCTTGGCCATCCTGACATGACTTATCTTAAAACAGATCTGTGTCAGTCATGCCAGTCAATGAATTTACAAGATATTAGAAAAATGCAGAAAAAAMCAAATGCAGTGCAGTCAGGTGTCATGTAGGTACATGCTGCAGTAGTCCAAAGCCATCTTCTGCTTTCAGCTCCTAGGCAGCTTTACTTGTGCAGGACTATGCCTTTTTSTGGGGATTCTCAGGCTCACTCAGTCTCCTGTGACCCCTGATTTACCTGATKAATGGTTTGGCCATGGTAGACAGGGCTTACATGTAAATCCAGGGACTGGAATCTGACAGGTCATCTCAGTGGAGCAACAATAGTTGGTAGGTAGCAGGGAAACTGAGAACCTGGAAAGGGTGAGAGGAGAGCATGCCTGCAATTTGAGGAAGTGAGGGTTTTAGGGAGGCTGTGTAAGGACATTGGCAATGACTAATATGTTGTCCTGTCTAGATGCAGACTTGTGTGGTTGGCAGCAAAACAAAAATAGCGTGTCAGCACAGGATACAGATGTGTTTCCACAAATCACAACGAAACTAACTGGCTGGCCTTTACAATTCATTTATCAAAGCACTTCCAGTTCCCATTTTGAGGTTACAGGCTAATTATAAGCATCATTTCAGGAACAATACATGATGTTCAGCTCAAATTATATTCAGTAAAAAAAAATATCTGAAGAGTGTCTGTTTTGGTTTTGGAGTGTTAAGCATCCTGGGAGGATATTTGAAAATATGCATGTGAAGTAAACAGATTTTTTTGCTGATCCAGGTCTGAGAAGGATACAGGGATGTTAAGGTAAAGAATCTATCCTCAACTCACAACTTCGATGCTGATTTGCCTGGGAAGCCCTCATATCCTTTTTGTGGCCCTTAGAAGTTAAACTGCTGGTGGCTGAGAATTGGTTTGTGGGATCATACCCAGAAAGACCTTTAGCATAAAGTGGCCAGAAGCAGCAGTGTGGAAGAAAGGATCACTGCTTGGATGGTCTGACCCCAAACCTGCTTATAGGTGCTGTGACAATGAGTATTGTTCCAAGACTCAGATCACAAGAAGTGCTGTCCTTCCAGGCTTTAATAATATTGAATTTGAATRAGTTTTGTATTTATTAGGATACATATGGGTATTACTGTTGACCGTTAACAAAACAGTCCAGCCCMTATCAATCTTGCTGCTGTTAGTCTCACCAGCTTGTTAGATTTTGCCACTTTTTCATTTGAGGGCAGAACTCTGTGGTTGTTATGTCYGTGCCAAGAATTCATAAGGGAAAAGGTTGTGTGTTGCTTTGGGGGAGTTTTGTGTGTGGTTTGGTGGATTTTTGTTTGTTATGGTTTTTTCTTTGTTTTGTTGTGTCTGTGTGGTGCTTTGAGCACAGCCACATCAGTTACGTGATCCCTTCCTCTGTGCTGCTTCAACTTGATTTCAAGTTTCCATGGAAATTGTGGAATGTGATCAAGTAAATTTCAAAGCAATTTCCAGGCACTGCTTTTGGAGCCTATGACAAACTGCAAATGTGAAAGAAACCTCCTTGCCATCTTGCACAGCTGGAAAAAYCTGCACAGTTCATCTCTGGAAGTAGCACTACTTTTTGAAAGGTTGAGGGCAGAAGCCCTGCGCATTCGGGTTCTCACCTACAAAAAAGGAGCCCGGTGCTCTGGGAAGGAATTTCTCTCCCATCAGCATCCAGTTCCTGTAGCTTCTGAGGACGAATTACTTCTGCCTCCTATTCCCATAGAGGATCAGTCCCATACAGAAACATACTGAGTTTTCTGAGCCTCCTGTGCCCAAATGTGGTGATGACTTTATTGAGATGAAGGGTGGCTCATGCTCAGTATTCAAATGCAGAACTTCCAGTGGAAGCCTGTGGGAGTTCAGATTTCATGGGGATAGAGTTCTCTCACCTTGCAGGATGTTTAGCAGCACCAGCTGCTTTAATAAGAGCAGGTGGTTGGAGTGCACACTGCAGAGGTGTTCCTCTTGCAAGCARATCAGTTGGTGTTTTTCCTATTCAAGAAAAATCAGGGAGTAGAAATAAAGTAAGCTGAATTGTCAAAAAGAAAAAAGTCATCAGTGAAGAAAGCCAGGAATGATGTTTGCACTCCAGAAATTTAGCTAGCCAACATACCCGTGAGTGAGATTTGCGCCTTTTTTTGGTGGAAAATTATTGCTGCAATTGTTTGTGCCCCACGAGCCCTGAGGATTCGTTTGATGGCAGGGAGAGGCAGTTTCTGTCCCTGTGCAGAAGGGTAGCTTCTCTTTACCTGGCTGGTTTGGTGGTGACTGTGTGACTCTAACACCTACAATAGATAAGGATCAGTCATTTGAAGTGCTGCCTCTTGGTAATACATAACTGATGTCTCTGGTCTGGTGGGAAGCTGGATCCAGCCTTGGTGCTGTGTGACAGGCCACCAAGAACGTGTCAGACTAATCATGCCTTTACTGGTGYTTTTACTGACAAACACACAAACAATGCTACATATGAAGTCGAGGCACCATGAGACGAGGAGTGTGTGAAGGGTGTGTTTATGTGGGATAGAGAGGTATGGAGACCCAAAAGGAAAAAGGGATGGAAACAAGGTTAAGATAAATGAAAGGAAAAAGCAGGAATAATGCTTGTTTAGAGAGTGTGTGGGTGTGTGTGTAAATCCCAAGCTTTAGAAATAGTAGGTGATTTTTAAAAAAAAAGGGGGAGAGGGAGAAGGAAGGAAAAAAAAAAAGAGGCTGTAGTCTAAGAAAAACAAAATTCTAGGCCAAGAACCTGGGAAGGGCATGAAGTTTAATGAAACTTTAATGAGTCACCGTTACTAGCAGGAATATCCACTGCTAATTTGTGTAAACGTGTGATCTGGCAGTGGCACAGTCTCTCCTCTGTCTGCTCTCCTTGTGTTCCTCTRGTACATCTGCCTGCTCTAAGCTCAGGTCCTGCCCCACTCTCCTCTGGAGGTGGCAGGCTGAATGTTCCCCACCATGGTACAAATGATCGAGGTAATCTAATAACTAATGTAAGYTGTGTTGCCATAAGGATGCTGGGAAAGGAAATCAGCTTTTAAAATAAAGGTTTGCAGAGAAAATGTTTAGCAAAGAGCTTTCTCTGTTGACTCAGTCCATACTTGGAAAATGGAGAATGATGGTTAAAGAAAAACTGGAGTAGAACAAGAATTAAAAATAAGCCCTGAAGTTAGTGGTTACTGTGCCATGTGCACACTATTGCCAAAGAACTTTGAACTTGATGACAAAGCTGTATGTAAGCTTGTGTGAGGAAATCTGAAGCTGGACAAACACAGCTTGGTTTTCATTTATAGTTTGCTTGGTTTTCATTTATAGTTTGCTTGGTTTTCATTTATAGTTTAAAGCTTGTAATATGGCCAGCTTCATAAAGATCTTGGCAAAGTTGAGCCAAGTTTTAGGAAATCTTGGTTGAGTTATAGTTTCCAGTGGAAACTATGCAAAAAGGATAGGCTTTAATTCCAAAGCAGACGAAAAATATTATTTTGGCTGTGTTTTATGTTAAGTTTGGGAGTTGAAGTCTAAACTCAAAGTAAAATAAAACTTGCAGACTTCCAACTAACAAAAGAAAAACTTAATAGACCCACAGTTTTTTGGTTTTTTTTTTTTTTAATCATCTTCAGTCTGTCTTTGTGGGTGTGGTTTTTTTAATTTACCACATTGCCATAAATGACAATGGAATACAGATTCTGCTCTGCCTCTTGTTTTCTTGTTAACAAACATCTGGAAACTCAGCTTGTGTAATAAATGGGCCTCAGAAAGAAGRTTTTGCTCTGCAGTCTCTTTAGGGAATGGTTATATTAATACTGGCTCTGCTTTAGAGGGGGAAGTCAGCTGGATTTGTGTTTTCCTGTTGCAGATGTTGTGCTGGAGAAGGCCATGCATAAGTGCATTTTGAAGCCGTTGAAGGGTCATATCGAAGCGATGTTGAAAGAGTTTCATACYACGGACGGTTCCTGGAAACAACTGAAGGAAAACCTGCAGCTGGTGCGGCAGAGGAATCCTCAGGAGCTGGGCGTGTTTGTTCCAACACCAGACTTTGTGGACGTTGAAAAGATTAAAGTCAAGTTCATGACTATGCAGAAGATGTATTCACCTGAAAAGAAAGTGATGCTGCTGCTGAGAGTTTGCAAATTGATTTACACTGTTATGGAGAATAACTCAGGTATGGTGCTTCTTGTAGTTCAAGTTCACCAATATTTCATACCTGGTGTTGTCTTTTGGAGGAGTCATGAGGAACCATCTCATTCTGCAGATAGGTCTCCTGCTGGCTCTTGTAGCATCTTCTTGCCCTTTTGAGAGGAATTCTTCCTCTCTGCTTCTTTCCTGCTATCTCTGTTCTACCTGGCAGCACATCTTAAAAACTCAGTGTGAAGCAGTGTTGTTGTCATGGATGGAGTAGGAGCTTCAGTTAATTAGAGAAATCCTCCCATGGAGTCACAAGGTGCAGGAAAGACCCTCTTGCTGTACAAACKCCTTMTCAGAGAGGAGCCTGGGTGYAGCTGGATTCAGTCTTAGCCCAGACTGTAAGTGGTTTAAGTCTAAGAAGTTACAGAGGTGTGATTGAACCTTTGTACAACTTTGTCCTGCAAGATTAAGGATGGCAAGCCAAATATAGTTAYATAAAAATGAGTTATATATTATGATAAAKGATTAGACAAAATAATAATCTGAATTATTTACTCCACAGTATAGAAATAAAAACTACTAGGATAGTCTAGTATAGTATAATGCACTATRTCAAAGCAATTATAATAAAGCAATTATAATAAAGCTATCAAAAACCACAAAACAATTACTGAGTAGAGATTGATGTTACTTATCCAGACCCCAACAACTGGGAGTGGGGGGCCAAATCTCTTTTGCTCAGCTTCCAGGAGTGGCTGTGAGGGGTGTTCCCACCCAAGGGAGGAGTTTACACCAGGAGTCTCCTGGTATAYTCCAGGAAGGGATTTGTTAGAAGATCCTGCCCTTTGAAACTGGACTTTTAGAGTTTAAAGTGATTGACYGTCAGTCARATGGCTCCATGMCAGCTATGTCAGCCTAACATGTTTTTAGATAAGGATACTTTACCCTGTCTGCCACATSTTTGTYTCACTATCAGGATGTTTAACTTTGGGGTTGGAGTYAGACTGGGTTTAGCATAAAACAACACCAAAAGCAGCATGACATCACCTCTTCATTCACCACTGATAAGCTTTGCAAAACAGGGCATTGTTTTACCTCATTCCAGGCAGAGCATTCTACAGATGTGAAGCAGTTGAAAAAGAGCAGCTTTCCTTAACTATAGGCTTTTGAAGTTGCCTGGYAGAAAGGCTGTTCTTTGAGCCTTGCATTTAACACTTATTCTAAATGAGTATTTTCCTGCAAATTGTAATAGAGGTAACAGAGGTAACACCCTATATTTAGCTATAGTAATTCAGTAGCGTGTATGCAATATGACAACTACAGGGTTCTGTCTTAATGGGTGGAGAAAAGCAGCCTCTAATCCAGTATTTTTGGCTTGCTGTGCTGCTGAGTGTTCTCATTTGAACACTTTCTGTCATGCTTTTGGAACAGAAATGACATCTGTTTCTGCACTGTAGCAAGAGTCCAAAAGTGCCTTTGAAAACTAAATAYTGAAATGGCACCACAGACCAGTCAAGACCTGCTGAACAGTCAGTGGTCCAAAATGCTGTGCTGGATTACGTGAATTTGTAGGTGCAGCTCTGACATTCTCTCTTACACTGCTGTGATATGTCATGAGCTAAGGTGTAGCAGTGCTGTGGTAGTGGGAGATGTTTTTCTCCTAAGTGAGTGTAATCTGCTGCTGGGAGGTGCTTGGCAGTTTCTGTTCTAAGGAAGCACTGCATGTGCAGCTAGGTCTGGTGAAGATCAAGATACCTACTTTCTTTTGATATTTGAGATGAACCGTGAAGACTCGTGGCTGTTAAAGCCCCCCACATAGTTATACAAGATTTTGGACTGAGCTCCTGCCCAGCTTATTATTGCGTTTCAAAATCCTGCATTTTAAAAATGGCTATCGGAATCTTGGTCTGAAGTTCTGTAAACTCCTCTCTCCATACTGTGTTATTGCCTTGAGTAAAGTATTTTCAACATGCAGAAGGAAAATACTGAGAGGCTGCTGCTGCTTMAGTGCAGCACTGGAGGTCTTGGGCCTTGGGCTGTGATGTGGCAAATGCTCATTGGGCTGTCTTGTTTTGTCATGTGAAGTTTGTTAAACGTGGCATTGAGCCAGCAGCTATTTGAGTATCTGCTTTGCAGCATACTCTCAGCCAGGTAAGTGTGTTAGCTAGGAAGGGGTGTGCCTCGGCTGGTGTGACTTGAGTTTCACCAGAGTTCTAAGTTGGCACATGCTCTGGGTGACCATCCCATCGGCACTAAACACCATTTTGCCAGACCCCGAGATTTGGCCACRTGGTGATTTCTGAACAGAAAGTCAAAATGCAGGAAAAGTGCCAGGAGCACAGACAGGCCTAGGTACAGCACAGTCTTTGTGGGTCACAGTCATTCCAGGCGMTTATAGTCTCTCCTCGTCTTRKAGGCTCCCTTYAGGTACAGGAGGCTGTCCTCACTGGTATTTTTGACTATTCAATGTCAAGGAAATTATTTCAATTTCCTTGTCAAATCTAAGAGGCTTTTACATTCAGGTTTCTTTGCTGTGAGATTCATACTCAGAAACTGGTATYTGTGTCTGTATCCTTCCAGAAAGTGGATGTAATCTCTGGCTGTAKTAAAAAAAATGCCTATTCATCACCTTCTAGGCAATGATAGCAGTGCAGGTGAAGGTCAGSCTGGACTAGCATGGCATCCTTTTCACCAGTTCACCAGTTGAGCTGGTGCCAAGGTGAGCCCAGTCTCTAAATTTCCCTTGCATGCSTCAAGGTGTGCATCATAAGATTTGTGCTTGTTTGAAGTACAGTATTGAGCTGGTCTCCAGTGASTGTTACATATTACCCTGCACATTGGTGTGGGGTTTTCAGGTAATACAGACATGCTGGGTAAAGAGGGCACAAAAAGAGTGTTTTCCTTTCAAACAGAAACTGAAAAAAGAAATGTGGTTTGTCTCTCACTGCTTGTGTTCCCTTCAACCCAGGGAGGCTGTATGGAGCTGATGACTTCTTGCCTGTGTTGACATATGTGCTAGCCCAGTGTGATATGCTGGAGCTGGATACGGAAATTGAATACATGATGGAGTTGCTGGATCCATCCTTGCTGCATGGAGAAGGTAATATGTTTTATTTTTACTTGAACTGCATGAAGGACTGGTGAGGGGATGTTCGTCCTCATAGCACAGTTGCTGTTACCCTTGAAAATCTTATTAATGGGAGACCTAATGGAAGTGATATTGACAGTAACAAGAGAATGTCATAATCATTTCCCCTGCTGGCTAGCTTGTGGAGCGCAGGCCTCAGCGATCTGGAAATCTGCTGCTGTGTATTGCTTTATGAGCAAATATGTTGTTTCCAACCCATTTTGACTTAGCAGGCAAACACATGCACTGTGCAGGTGCAGAATGGTCTTAACCTTTTTGTGCCTGAAAATTTCCTTAGAGTCTTTATGGGAYGGCAGCACTCAGTTAATTGTGAGGCACATTATGAGGCTTGGGTTAGGTGCTTTGTGAAAACTTCCGGGGGACTTCTGTGGGGAAGTGCTTTTGAGAATAATGCCCCCCTTTAATGAACTTTGCTTCTTCCCAATATTTGCTTCTCACAAAGTACTTTTATGAGTCCTAGGAGTATGTTTCCTGAGGCATTTCTTGAATGAGGTCTAAAGTCTKCTAGAGGCAAGGAAATCTGCCTTCTTGCTGTTTCCATGGTAGCATTTTTAAAGAAATATTCTGCAAGGCCCTGGTAGGCCCCAGAATCTAAATGGTTTGTGAGGAAGTTTAAAGGTTCTTGCAGCCAAGCTTAGGTGTATATTTAGGTATTATGTGTATGTTTCCTGTTCCTGCTATTTCTTGACTTTCTGAAATTGCTGTATCCTCTTGCGTGCCAGTATGCCTGGAAGAATTCATGCCATGATTCCTCCAATATGGCACTAGTCTGTTCCTTGCTTGGTGTACAGAGCATCCTTGAATGCATTGTTAGGAATCTTAGCATGGAAAATACTTGAGATGTGAAGCTGGAGATCATTAACATGCTTGAAAAGCAAATTGATTCTCTGGATTACTAAGTCATATTGTTTTTAACATAGCAAAGGAAGTCTGTTCATTAGCTGTGCCTGTCTTTGGCACTAGCTCAGCTATACTTTGTGGAAGAAATCATGTCATGCTTTGGAGTTGTGCATGTCAACTGTAATGTATTGTCCAATTTATCTAATGGGTCTTGCATACATTTTATGTGTTAATCTTGTTGCAAAGCTAAAGGCTCAGAGGGGATGCTGTCAGTAATACAGAAATTACTACTGTGGGCATAGAATGCATCTCTGAATGCCTCTAAAGAGACTGTGCTGCCTCTTAGTTGGACAYTCCCACTCAAATAGTTGACTTTAAAAAGAAAAGACAGACAGCATGTCTTTTGTTTCTCCTGGTTGTGGAGGACTGTTACCTCCTGTTGAGACTTTTACTTTGTGCAGTTTCTTTTGTACATTGGCAACTCTTGTAGCTTTAATTTGTTCTCAACTCGTGTAATGAAGGTGGACTATGCAGGACTGTACACACCATCTCCTGAACTAGTTGGACATTATGGGGAATGCTAAGAARGTGACAGATAATTGCTCTTTTAAAAAAAAAGGCAACTCTTTCAGATGATTCCAGAGTACAAATCTTACACTCAGTTGTTGTTTTATTGCCTCTAAGGGTGGTTGCTTTTGAGTTAATGAAAACTGGCAGGTTGTCATTTTACTCTGTTTAAACAGCCGTGTTTAAACCACATCTGAAGCTTGGGAAGAAAACAAAATACTTGGTTTGAAAATAAAGCTGCTCCTTGGTTTAGAATAAAGCTGCTATTCCAATAGTGAAGGAGTAAACATTCAAGAGTAAAGGAGTTGTTTGAAGAAATCAGCTTTCCTCGGCCCAAGTGGACTCAGGCATGGGCACCGCCGTGTGATATGGAGCACATGTGCCCAACCGCTGCATGTCTCTTAGCAGCTGACAACACACCCTCCAGTGTTTTGCAGAGCAGTGAGCTGTTTTCCTTTYGTGTGTAACTATTTTGGCACTAGAATACAGGGACTTTCATATCTATGTGTGTGTCTGGGTGTTTCTCTGTGTGTATTATATATATCAAAGAAGACTGCCTGTACTTGTGACTGTTGCCACCCTGAGAAGTTCTCCCCTTGCTGTCRTTCACAGGAGGCTATTACTTGACAAGCGCTTATGGAGCACTTTCACTGATCAAGAACTTCCAGGAGGAACAAGCTGCCCAACTGCTAAGTTCAGAGGCCAGAGATACTCTCCGGCAATGGCACAAGAGGAGGACAACTAACAGGACAATACCTTCAGTTGATGATTTTCAGGTAGAGCCTCGAGCTGAAATAAAAAATGGGATGGTTGTGTTGTTGGAAATTCCCATTTGAGAGGTATGATTCATAGCAAATTCCCTTGGGGCCAAAGGTGGAGTGAAACAGTGCTGAGATTATGACTGGCMAATTTATCTCAATTTTGAAGTCTTTGCACTTCTTACCAAACAGTTTCATTATGATGGTCTGAAGAAAACAATAATAGAGTTTTCTTATTTTCCCTTTTAAGTCATATGGAGCAAGGACAAACTTAATTGTATCTTAGATTCAGCTTTTTTGTATGCTTTACTGTTAAAAAGATCAAATTCAGATTTCCAGGGTATAAATAAGTACAACACTCCAGTAGCCAGTGGTGACTTCAGGCAGGTAACAGAAAGGAGAGGTGGGAGAAATGTTTCCTGATACTTTTGAAGTTTAAGCAGGCAGCAGAGTTCTGTATTATGGATTTCCTCATGTATGTGTTTTGTTTTGTTTTGTTTTGTCCCCTRTATTTTGTACTGCTCTTCCAGAGTAGGGCAGCACCTTCAACTGAAGAATAGCAAAACAGTCTTATTATTACTTCATCTTCTAAAACCTGGCCTGCATCGCTTTCATATGCTTTTGACTGACTGCTGAGATGCAGCACCTTGTGGATTGGAACAAGGAGGMTGTTGAAATTGAGAAGAAAGGATTTACTCCTTGGTGTCTACACTTGCTACACATGCTACAGGAGGAGGAGAGCAATTCCAGTGCCTGGCCAGTGCATAAAGCTAGTCCATCTCCCTGGGATCCACGTTCGGTTCTGCTTACCTGTAGTTAGGTGTCAGAGTCAAGTAGCTGGAGTYTTTGTTCTTTCTGGAAAAACACTGCACTTTTCATAGGAACATCCAGGAGCATTTCTGCAGGGTGATGAAATTGCGGAAGATCCTTTCAGCAGGATCTTGTATGAAAATCCATCTTCTCTTTCTCTGAAATGAACTTGGTCCAGGTTCCRGTACCGCTGGATGCAGGAAGATGCAGGGAGGCAGGGAAGAGCTGTCACTGAGTGTGTCCAGTGCTTCTCCTGMTGTTGGCTCTTCCAAAAGAGAGCCTCGAGTCAGTGGATCCCAGCACTTCCAGGACATGTTTGGCACAAATTCAGTTTGCTGTCTGCTCAGAATGCCAGTTATCTCTCTTCCTGCTCTGAGTCTTGCAGTCCTGGAATGGGGCACCTTCCCTACAAGCAGCATAGAACACCCCTGTAGCTCCAGTCACCTTTCTCCCAGGGAACCAGGGTGTGGTCATGGCATTTCTGTGATGCAGTCTCACAGCCTTCCCAGCTTTCGGGCCCTGAAGGCTGTCTTTTCACCTTCCCCAAATGGATAGGAAAGAAAAAACCCATGTATTTTGATGATGATTAARTACAGTTCTCTGATACTGTGTAAATAATTTTGATCCTTAGTCTGTGAGTTACAGGCATTTGTAAAAATCCTCAGCCTTTCCTGCCACCAGTCCTATCCATCTAAAAGCACGTGCATTTCAAAACAGGTCTTTTGTGTGGTAGCYACATTAAAATAAAAACTACTGTGTTCTGCCTCATCTGAGGCTGTTTTTTTTCYACAAGTTCTTCAAACCAGGTAACAAAAATGGCTTAGTTCTATTCAGTCAGGTTTAGTCCCAATATTTAAAATGCTATTGCAGGCTTCAGTTTATGGCTGCATGGTATCAAGAAATACTTTATTAGACAAGAGTGCTCTTTGGAACTTCAGTCATTGGGATGTTCTTCTCAGTCCTAGCTTTTGACAGTTTGTTTCTGTGAAATGTAAACTTCTAGCATTGGAATTTAGCATGCCTAATTTATTCAGCATATGAACCATAGGTACTAGCTCAGTCAATAAACAACTCTTTTTCACTGTAATTTTTTTCCACCTCTTTTAATCTTACTGCATTTTAGTCTTTAATTCCAGCTAATTTTTCTTTAAAGCAAACAGACTGCGAAACTGCATTTCCTTGTGGGGTACATGAAGAATGTATCCCATTTATCAGAATTGTGGGTGTGTGTCAGTTTCTACAGAAGAAAAGATCCAGCTTTTCCTCAAGATCACGTGGATTTACTTGAATGGTGCAGAGTAAATTTTTTTTCTGAATGCCTCTGAAAAGAATGAAATGCTGTTCATGTGAAGCTAAGGTTAGGCCAGGCTTAGATACCAGGCTGCAGTTCTTGGGATGGCCATAATGTACAGAAAGCACTAGAGTGTGTCTCACAGCTGGAACATGGAGAGCTTGCTTTTTGTTGSTGACTTTTCAGTTTTCAGAGGATGAGGGTTTTTGAGTTTCTGATGTCTGCTTTCTTGTTCCACAGAACTATCTTCGTGTTGCATTCCAGGAAGTTAACAGTGGATGTACAGGAAAGACTTTGCTGGTAAGGCCGTATATCACTACAGAAGATGTGTGTCAGCTTTGTGCTGAGAAATTTAAAGTGGAAAATCCAGAAGAATATAGCCTGTTTCTTTTTGTTGATGACACCTGGCAACAACTGACAGAGGATACCTACCCTCAGAAAATCAAGGCAGAGTTGCACAGCCGTCCGCAACCCCAGGTCTTTCACTTTGTCTACAAGCGCATTAACAGTGACCCGTATGGTGCCATCTTTCACAACAACAACGACTCAGCTTCTTAAAACCAGCAACTTGTCATTTTAATTTCTGTTCTTTGTTAATTGTCACAAACATCTTTGGTGGCTGCCTTCCTTAGGAGCTAAAACATGTCTTAAACCATAAATGCCTAGTAAAACACGTGCTGACATTTCTAGCATTGCTTACAAAACCCAGGTACACATGCACGTGGCCAGTTATGCAGAATATTCCACCAGCATGTTTGAGGAGACAGCCCATGAGGCTGCATTTCTTGTATCATGGGCTCTTTTGCAGCGTATTATACTGTGGCCCTTCACAGGCCTTTGCTGTAGTGTGCAAAAACTGATTTTCTTACACTTGTTTTTTCACCAGATGTCATTTTGATTTGAATCCGTATACGAGATATGTTTTCTGTAAACTGGCTGGTGTAAGCACAGTTTCGCCAGCAGGAGTTTGACAAGACTGTCCGATGCAGGGCATCAGTTAACTCATAATTACCTGGATGATTGCATCCTTTTCTAATTTTTTTGATTACAGAAAATCATCATGTTTATATATATATATATATATATAAAATAGATCTTTTATAGCAGTTGCAGGTAAACTGTCAGGGTTGGTTTTTGAAATATTTTTTTAACTATAAAGTATTCTATAATTATGCATGTGGTTTTTAACATTTAATATACAAGAATAAATCTCTTGCTGGTTTTAGAGTATTGCATTAAAAGTCTTATGTGGTTTCTCTTCTTCCCCTGTTCCAGGAGAGTTCTTATAAAACTTCTGTTATCTGTAAGAAGGTTGTAACATCGGGACTGCCGATTTCAGTGCCTTTATCTAAACTTGATGTATTGTTGTCTGTATTACTGTTTATATGCATTGTTTTAGACAGAACTAGGGTGCTGGGAAAGAMTATTGGAAGAAAAAGTTGTGGAGTAGGGGCAGAGAAAGAATGTCGAGAACTTAATTTAGGATTCAAATGTGTTATACTGCTGGTTCAGGCTCTTTGCAGGAAGTGATGGAGGAGATTGGTTAGGAACTTCCACGTAAGCAGTAGTGTAGGTTTGCAGAGGGGTTTGACAGCACCTCTCCCGTGTACTGTTTGTGTTGGCAGAGGATTAAAGATGTCAGTAATGTGAAGGAGAGCACTATTTTGTGTAGTTTGTTGTTTGCATCCAAGGGTGTCTTGGCCTGAAGGACACGCTTCAGCATTTCATGGCTGTGTCACTCTGCAGCGAGACAGGAAGGTGAGTCCTGCGTGTGCAGGGATTGGTTGGTGTTTAACACTCATGTTCTGTGGGTTTGTCCCAGCCAGATGAGGGCATGGGTGACACTCTGCACCCCAGCCAGGGCAGTGAGGGGCAGGGGCTTCTCCCCAGCCTGCTGGCAACAGTGTGATGCGAGGCAGGTGCTTCCAAAGGGACATTGTACTTAGGAGAATGGGCYGCACTGTGTCAGTCTGCTGTAGGTCTGAGACCCCTGCCGTGTGTCTGTATCTCATTTTGCAAAGGGTGAGTTTGCACAGAACAATACATTGTAATACTGAATTGTAATTTGGGATGTGTGTTCTGGGTTTTGGGGGGTGCTTTTTTGTTTTGRATGGCCCACACTGGAAGGTTTCATGTCTAGGTGGCTCTGATCTGCTGGGTTTTGTGTTGCTTGTTCAACTACAAACTCTGAGCAAAGGAGGGACATGGCATCACTCTCACTGAGTTGGCATCCTTGGCCTGAGCAGTCGTGGAAGCAGCAGACAGGTTTCTGGCCTGCTGAACCACTTCTTGTGGTGCTAAGGCTGACATCCAATGCTAAAGAAAATTCCTGTCTTCATCTGACAGTGGCGCTGACAGCAGAGGGGAGGACTGAGGCAAAGTACTAAGAAACTCAGAATGTCAGGTGTGTCACAAAAGAAAGCTCAGAGTGCAAAAAGGGAAATGTGTGCCCAAATTTCCTCAAGGCAATTTTGCAGTCTGTTTTTGTGCAATTGTGTCTTCTGAAAATGAGACCATTTTATTCATTGTGTTGTGCAAAACACTTCTCATTATGCCAGGAAACAGATGATACTAAAACTTGAAGGAATTTGGACATGTAAAAACAAGCTATTTTTTCTTCTCCAGTGYGAGATGTTTCATGTTAGTTGGCTGTAAAAGTTCCTGGTTTTCTCATCTTCCTCTTGCTCAATYTCAAAATCAGTGTGGGATTTCCAAAGAACTTGCAACAGAGAAGCCTCTCATCATGTTAATTTAGAGCACATTGAGATACTGAGAGGGGAAGAGAACGGATAAAAGTGAAATTTCCCTGAGACAAGGTTCGGAGGGCAGGGCGTTCACTGGTGGCACAAGCKGGGATTAGGGCTGAGCAGCACCAAACCCTGGCGCATATAATCCATTCAGCTTTCACCTCATGCTTTATCAGGGGAGTTATGGCAATGCCAAGAGACAGATGTTAATTAATGAGTCCCAGTCTGAGCTGTGACAGTAACTGGTTCTGTTCAAGCTGGTGATTTATTTACATGTTCATCAGCCACACTCATAAGTACTGGGGTTTGTTCCTGTTTTTCTTTCATCCTTACGTCCAACTTTCCACCCCTTCTGTCTATCCCAGGTGTCCTCTGCRTTATTTTCTTGTGCTGTATGCCACTCATCCCATTCCCTTTCACTACTTCACTCTCTGTTGTTTATCTTTTAATAAATAAATTTTCAATATTTATTTAATAAATATTGCTCAGTCCCTCTCCATGTTCTCTGTCCTACTTTCTGTCTCTCACTCCCTGCCTTCATCTTTATCTTTGCTTCTTTATTCCTCTCAKTTTTTCTTTGTCCTGCACCATGATTGTATTTCTTTGTCCATCTCACTGTCTTTTCCCTGTACGTTTCTGCATCTGCTGCTCACTCCTTGTCCCTCATTGTCCTCTTTATAGCCCTCTGTTGTGCTGCCCATCCCTCTCTTTTTCCATCCCTCTGCTGTACCTTGCCCATCTTCCCCCCACATCCACCTGCCGTGGTCATTCTCTCTCTCTGTCTTTGTTTCCCACTTTGTATCCCTTTGTCCTTTAKGTGTGTTTACCACTCTGTCCTGCTCACAGCCCCTCTGATTCTCATTCTGGCCCAGTGTCCTGCTCCCTTTCCTCTTTCCCTGTTTCCTTGTCTCTTTATCTGTCCTCCATGCCTCGCTCATATTCCTTTTTGTTCTCTGTTGCTCTGTCCTGCTCCCTGTGCCATTGTTTCTCATTGTATCCTGTCCCGTTCCCTGCCCCTATTCCTTTTYAATTCCTGTCTGTCGTGCTGCCCATCCCAGGTCTATTTTTTCATCTGTATCCTGCACCCTGTTCGTCCTTTTCTTCCTCTGTCCTCTCTGCTCCCCGTCCCTGTTTCTGTCCCTGGTGCTCCCACCCCACTGCTCGATGGGTCCGAGAGCGCAGATTGGGATCACGGTGCTTCRGCCTCACAGGGGGCAAGGAAGGGATGAGACAGCTCCTGACACTGCCCCGAGCGAGGAGTGGAGCGGAACCTGAGCGGGAGCCACGGCCCCATCCTGGGCCACGCTGTCCCCGTGCTGTGGGGCGGCCACCMGGCTGTGCCACAGGAGCTGGGGAGGGACTGCAGCCCTTCTGGGGGCTGCCCCCGCCTTTCTTATTCTGGCAAAGCCCCTTCTTGGGGGGATGTACACATGTAAAGGGCTTTGTTAAAGCAACGTGCTGCTGTCCAGGGCAGTTTGACTCATTTAGTGCCTTCCGTGGGGGTGAGCAAAAAAGGCTGGGGTGGAGGGTGGAGTCTCGGGGGGCTCTGATGTCATTTSGGGCACCCCAATGTTCCTGGGAGAGCCATCATGTGGGCTAGGAGCAGGTGAGTGGGGAATGAGGGGAGTGATGCTGGGTGCCCTCCTCCAGAGGGACCCAGAAATGCCAGAAAATTCACAGGGAGGGTGTGTGTAGAATACTAAAACCTGCCAAGTTTTTAATTTTTATATATATYGACAAATTATACTAATTTTTATATAAAATCATTTCAAAATAAAACCCTATCTGTTATATACAGGAATATAAGAAATTCTGAATATCCATCTGTAGGGTTTGAAAATAATGACATGACATTTTTATATATGAATTAAACAATAAAGTGCCTGAAAACAAAAGATGATCGTTGTGAAGAAAATAAAAACTGCTCTATCCCAACTCTTCTCTCTGTTCTCTCACTGGAATAAACCAAGAGCTCTACGGTGGAGCTGCCACCTGGTGACAAAACCCGGCACTGCCGCCCCCCCGACACAGCGCCCTGAYCCTTCCTACTGTCCCCTGCTGTCCCCTGCTGGGCGACACGAGACACCGGCGACTTCGGTGGCTGCTGAGGATGGGAAGGGCRAGAAGCGGCATCGAGCGGGGTCATGTCTGTAAACGGAGGGGAGGGGTGAAGGAGTGTTGGGAGTGAAAATGGACACGGCCGTGGTTGAGCGGGGTCACGGCGATAAAAGGGTGACCGGCAGCAGAGGCACCGCGACACGGGCCGGGGACACCGCGCGAGCGCAGTGACGGGATTGTCCCTGTGCCACTCTCAAGATGGCGGCTGAGGGGAAAATCACGTGACAGGTACGCGTGAGGGTGGGCCGGGTTGAGCCACACTCAAAATGGCGGATGTGGCTGCCCCGCGACAGGGGTGTCCCCGGCGCAGCCCGCGCCTTTCCCGCCCGCCCCCGACGCCGCTGACCCCACCACCGATATCCCCACACCGAGAAAMGCCGCGGAAAATCGAGCTGAAAACGCGCTCTCGGAGTCGGGGTCGGATTCAGGCAGCCGAAAAGACAAACGCCTTTGTGAGAAGGGGGAGCCCTAATGGTATTATATGAAAGATGGCAGTTTAACCRGAATCGGCTTCTGCCAGTGTCCAAGATGGCCGAGTTGGGACGCAGTCATGTGATACTAAACAGAAGACGGAGACTCGCAGAGATTTATTCGCCCTTCTAAAGATGGCGATGTTGTGCGCAAACGCTGTGGGTAGGGACGAAAATGGCGTGCGGGAAAGACCTCACTGTGCCTTATCGGCTGCCTGAACCCAACACAGACGCCGACGCCTAACCAGAGCTTTCAGCGAGGTTTTCCATGGCGTTTCCTGGTGTGGGGACACGGGTGATGTGGTCAGCGGCGGTTGTACAGGACATTTTGCACATTTTAAAATAACAGGTTGCTAATGCACGATACAGGACCGTCTCTCAAAGCACTTGCTTTGTGCAGGACCTGAGCTACAGGAAGGAATGTGATGTGTCAGGGCTGCAGCTCAGGGCTGGACACCGATGCCATGGGCATCCCTGAGTGTCACCCACACCCCCCACACCTGCAGCAGCTCTGCACCTCACAGGGCACCAAACAGAAATGAGGAGGAGAAAGCAGAAGAGAAAGAACAGAGCAAAGGTGACTGAACAAGGAGATGCGTTATGGCAGATTTTCCATGCTTATCCCAGTGTGAATGGAGCATCCACCAGCAAGTGGATGAAAACCCAGACATCAAAAAGACAACCAGTATCACCTAGCATTTGTAGGGTTATCGCCTCTGGGCCTACACAGATCTCCTTCTGTCTGTGTCTAATTTTGGGTCGCATTGTGAGTAGTCACAAAACATCTCAGGCCCAGAGGAAATAGTAAAAAGGAAAAATTTGAATTCCAAAAGTTCAAGATTCTGAGAGGATTTCTTTTTTTCCTTTTTCCTTGTCTTCTGCCATGAGCCCTTGAGGAAAATGACAGGCTGAGCAACTCTATAGCACAACTGAATCCATTTCTCAGGAAGAGGAACTCCTTGTAGCTGCTCCTGGGATTCACATGCAGGAGGTCATGGGGAGCCCCTGTCTCCTGCCATTGCTGTCAGCAGTGGGACCAGGGGGAAATCTTACTCAGTCCCACCTGGGCCCGTGCCCCGAGGCACCCAAATCTCTACACTCAAAACTGCTGCCATCCTGCTTCTGGCTGCAGCCAGCAAATCATCTTGGCCCACAGCTTTCTCTCTTCCCTCAAGAT